GGACGAGAAGGGTGCCTCGAAGGTTAGGTGGTGCAATTTCGGAAATGTAAATCGGAGAACCCTGTCGGTGAGACTCGTCAGCCATTGTTCGATCTCATCACAGGATGAGATACAGTGGAGAAAAGAGATCAACTCACCATTGCAAGTGTACCAACACCAATACCACCGATAGTTCGGCCAGCAACCAAAACGCCATAACTCGGCGCCGCAGTCTGCATGATCGCACCGATATTAAAGATGACCACGACGGCCGCGAGCGCCCTCTTACGGAAAATCTTGTCGGCCAGCGTAGGCATGAACAAACATCCGAGAAATGCGCCAAATTCGAGCATACCCGTCATGAAGCCCTTGCCAAAGGGGGTCGCGGCTTCAGGGAAGACGTCGTGGAACTGTTTCATGACGTTGATGATGGAGATAACGCCCTGGTCGTAGCCAAAGGAGAAACCGCCGAGCGAAGCCAGGAGGGCGGCGCCGCCAACGTACGGCGAATCGGCAAGGCCGCGGAAGCCACTGCGGCCGTAGGACACGTCCTCGGCGGGGTTGAGGTTGATTTCGACATTGTCGATGAAGTCCTCGACGTGTTCGCCGTGGCCGTCGTCGAGGCTTTTGGCCTTTTTCAAGGAATCTGAGCTGTTCGCCATGATTGCGATCTGATACGTGTTGTTGTGTGCTCTGAAAAGGGATGAGGATGGGACCACGTGGATGGGGGGGCAATCGCAGCCGCGGAGGGTAGTATCTGAGAATGGATGATGGGGTTCGAATGGGATGAAGATCAGAAGTCAGCTGAGACGAAGAGGCTCTTATATACTAAATAAGTTTCTGGGGGCTTGGTGTTGATAACTAGGTTGACTACTACTTAGTACCAACGGGTAGCGCAAGAGTAGACCAGGACAAGACAAGAACTGGATTTCTGGGGAACCCCATCCGTTTACAGACTAGGGGCGTCTGCAATGGCCAGCGAGTGACTGAGGGCGTCGAGGGTTCGTGCCAGGACTGACTGTCAATTTCCCGGCGACGAAAGGCCGCGGGCAGCATTAACGCTCTCCACCGGCAGAGTGGAACACACGGCCCTCAGGTTGCATCTCTCCCCCACGGGGAAAGGTGGAGTCTGCTCCATGTACACCTTCGAAGCCTTTTTCGGCGAAGCGCATGGAGAGGAGGGTTAACGGTGGGTGGTGTGGGTGACTCGCACGTACTCGAGGCTTCGGTCTGAACGTGGTGAGCAAAGAGGGCAAACAGTGGACGGAGAGTCAGAACCAACATCAAAGACAGGGAATATCTCATTGGCTGGAATCTGGGCTTGGACTGCCTGCGGCTGGGCGTCATGACAGCGGTCTTCTGGCCGACGGTTTTCCTTTTCAGGAACCCGTCGGCGATGAGGCTTTGCCTGCTTGCCCCCTCAGCCGCCCCGCGACGCTAATGTCCATTCTTAGTATACCGTAGAAACTCGAGCAACTCGAACTTGCGCTAGCCCGTGCCAGCCCTGCTAGCGCTCTGGCAGAATCGTAATACTGCCTAAAGTGGTTAAATGCGGCCGCCACCTATTTTTGGCGTAGGTTAACATTTCGATCGATCTGACCAATGAGAGCTCGCCGTCGAGGCCGGACCCACAATTGATATAATTCAATAATTATTTTGGCTTTCTCGTCGGTTTTGAGCTTTTCTCGTCGAATTGGCAAAAAGGGCAAAAGTGTCAATTGGAAGCAGTCGTACGTAAGCAACCGAGCCCCTGACTGTCCCCTGGCCCACTGCCTCCAACGGGCCCCTATTCATACGGCGGTTGGACTGTCGGGTCGACGAACTGCCCATTGATGCCATCACGGACTTCCTCTGCTGTGAAAATGTACTCTAACCCGTCGTTCAGAACAGCGAAGTCTGGAATCTCCTCTTGCAGCGTCTCCTGCTCAATGTGGGCTTCTACGTCGAAGAGCTCCCACCCAGTGTAATCGATGGCCTCGGCGGGCACGTCTTTGATCCGGATCTCGTCGACCTGGCTGCCATCGGGCCGAATAGATATTCCGCACTGCAGGAAGGCCTGGCTGACCATTGAGCCCTTCTCGTGGGCCAATTTAGCGGCTGCCGTCTCGACTGTTTTGGTGACCATTCTTCTCTTCATACCCGTCTCCCACTTGAGCTCCTCCTGCTTATTCAGCGCTTTTTCTTCCTCGTCGAGTACGTAAGCGTCGGTTGCTTCTGAAAGCCACTGCTTGAAGGGCTTATTGACTGCGGTATCGAGAGGTTGGAGGAGGGAAGTGGTCCCTGGCGGTATGAGGCAGGGTGTGATGTGGTGCTGACGTAATAGCGCAAGGATGGAATCTGTCTTATGGAAGGAAGCGACATCCATTACCAATAGGTACTCGTCTCCCTTAGTCAGCGCTACCAATTCCTCTTCAATCCATCTTTTGAACAAGTACTCATTGTTGTAGGCAGTCTTGTTGAACTCAACTGTCACTCCTTCTGCGTATAATAGGCCCTCTTTTTTCCATAATTGACCCCCTTCCTCTGCGGGCTTGCCGTGGAATATTATTTTCGGTTTAATTCGTTGTATGCCGTCGGCGAAGATGTAGAGTATTAATGTGGCCTGCCGCTTGCCCCAACCGCTGCGGTCGCTCTTGCCAGCCACGGTTTTGGCCCCGACGTCGTCGTATGTGTAACCGTCTAGGTATTCGAAAGGAACTGGGGTCTCGTCGAGGTTGAGAATTCGCGAGTTAGGAAATCGACGGGCTGGACTTCCGAGTAAATCTCCGACGTTAGACCGCTTCACCTTAGCCAGGGCCATTTGATTAACTCGTCGGATAAAGGAAAGAAAGCTGTTGACAACTTTGAAGTACTCAGTGGGTAACTTCGTTGCCTGTTTGGTAAGTCGACGTCGGGTAATTCTCATACGATTCTGGAAGCCACGAAACCAACCGGGGGAAAAAATAAAAAGATGTTTGCTGTTCGGGTTCTGCTGGGCGAAAATCCGCTTAGCGGTCCTTTTGAACCAACTGGTACTAACGAGCTTTCCCTCACTTCGTCGCTGGCGGAAGGCGCCGTATAGCGCTGTCTCGAGCTCTGGCCACTGAGGGTGGTAGGCGTAGTTGGAGGACCGATTGACGATTGACTCGCGGTTCTGATACCAGGAGATAACCGTGCTTCGAGGGACTTTGAACCAATCTGCGGCTTCCTGGTATGTGGGACGTCTGTATATCCCTGGGAGCTCGGTCTCGCCCTGGCGCAGCCTCGGGGGGCAAATCGACTCTTCGTCGAGCTTCCTCACGTGGTGATGCTCTAAAAACATCAGGACGTTGACTTTGGTATCGTGGGTATAGTGGTGCTGGCGGCGCTTGATTGGGCCACTTCGCGGTGTATATTTCCGGTCTTTGATGGGGGTAGGAGCAGGCCCGCGGCGCTTAGCTGCTGGAGGTGTAATTGGCACTTTTGCCGTATTCGAATCCTTCTCGGCAAGGGCCCGTCGTGAGGGCATCGTGGGCACGTCGACGAGGCCCGTGGTGGAGGTGTAATTGGAGGTATAATTGACAGTATAATTGGTGGTCAAATCGGTGATGTAATCGGTGGAAGTGGGCAGTTGGGTAGGAGTAAAAAATGGAAAATAATCACTTACCGCCTTCCGTATACGGTTTAGTCGATTATATAATCGGATAAAACTGATCCCTCGAAAGGGCTTAGTGTGGGCCGCTAGCAGGGCTGGCACGGGCTAGCGCAAGTTCGAGTTGCTCGAGTTTCTACGGTAGTGCGCTAAACTGACTTTCTGAGACACGAAAGGAGCCTGGACAGGGGTACTTGGTTGGCTGGACTCGGGGAGTCGGGCGCTGAGTTGATGAGACCTGCCAAGGGGGATCAATGATGGTCCGCCGAGCACCAACCAAGGCCGCCAATCTTGAGGACTCGTTGTCACTCTGGAGGAAACTGGATTGAAGCCTTTGGTTGGCCTTAACTGACCTGCTATGACGACATGGGCCCCATATTGCCAAATGTGTATTTGCCAGGGCCGGGGTCAGTCGGGATGCAGTCCCGCGCCGGCCTAGAGATTCCGGAGCCTCTTGCCCCCCTGGTCACATCCTCGGGATTCATCGTTCTGCTTTAGGCCTTTGGAGAGGGTGATCACCACTACAGACTGCACAACCCGCGGGTTTCGATTTCCGACAAAATGCATATCGACGAGAACTCTTAAGGAAGGGTTCATCCCCCAGCATCTCTATGGCTTTGAATGTGTTGGGGAGTTTCCACGAGTCAACTTGGTCAACTTCCGACAAAGATCAACCAAACGCGAGTTTTGTCAGGAGCTAGTTGCCCTGTTGAGGCTGTTGGCGAATCCCGCGGGTTTCTCTCCAATGCGGAATGCAGGAGACACCACCAACGACACATCAGGGAATTCTAGGCACGTGGATGCCAAGGACAATCCCTCCTCCGATCCCGCTCCCTCCCGAATAGGTAATTTCCGATTAGCTGCTCGCGGCTTGGGATACCAACGACATGAAAACATGAGTAGATGATTTGTTCGAGTTACTTCTGGTAGACGGGGGCTCTGATGGGGTCGACCGGGGTTTCGAAGACTCATCATTTGGTCAGCTGTGCCGTGTACAACCGAAGTCCTCGTCAATTGTTTGCCTATCGACAGGGGAATCTGAAACTACGTCATCAATTGACCAGGGCGCATTTGATTGCGAATTGCAGCACTACGATTAGAACAGGCGCGAAGATTAAAGAAATAGACCGAACCCAAGTCATCTACCAGCCCACCGGCCCCGTGACCACGGAACCCGTCCGATACCACGACAAGGGCGAGACAATGACGAGAAACCACGTTGTTTCCACTATCAAACTTGTCTAAGTTGGGCACATGAACCCCACGCGACTATGGATTTGCAAGCTTTTGAAACATCGTCAATTCATCAAGGTGAAGTAGCTCTAATGTCATCACCAAACATCAACGCGTCTACGTTCCCATCTACTACAAAAGACGCGCATGTCTATCCTGCTTTTCTCTCCATCAGTCTCTACAACCTAGCATTCTCAATGCGCTTGCCAGACTCGTCAAAATCAATCTTCTTGCCGGTGATCAAACTCTCTTGCAGCGCGCAGCCGATCTTGACTGCATTGACGGCGCCGACCAGCTTCATGGGCGGCTCGGTGTTGTTCAAACAGCAAGCGGTGAACTCGTTGGCCTCGGTGATGAAGGCCTCGCGGAAGCGGCCGTAGTAGTCGGGAGGGATCTCACGACGAATACCCGTGGGCTCGTAGAGGTTGACGAGGTTCAGCTGCGGCTGCGTGTTGACGGCGACCTTGCCGCTTGTGCCAAAGATTTCGGTCGTGTCCTCTTGACCGGCGGCCATCATGCGTGAACAGAAGAGCTGTGCAATCTTTCCACCCTATAATCGCATGCGGTTAACTTCTATCTACCGTAACGTTTAGGATTACTGGAAGAACTTACGTAGAACTCGACAACGGCGACAGCGTTGTCTCTGTCGTTGTGCTTCCTCAGACCCTCCTGCACGGCTGTGATACCAATGGCAGACACACTCTTCACAATGCTGTCTTCGCCAAAGAACCAAAGCGCCAGGTCAATGTCATGGATAGAGCAGTCGACAAAGATGCCACCGCTGAACTCGGCGTAGTCGACGAAGAAACCGGAGGGGTCGAGCTTATCGCAGGTTTGCGATCGGAAGACGGAGGGCGCACCGATGTCGCCGCGGGCCACTCGTGTGAAGGCGTCTCGGTAGGATGTGTCGAATCGGCGTGAGAAACCGCAGATGACCTTTTGGCTGGGGTTCTTGATGAGGGACTTGTCATAGGCTGTAACGACGGATTGTGACTATGTGGGAGACCCAAATTAATTCATGGCTTTTGTGTATCGCGAACAGGCAGCGCAGAAAGATGAGAGCTATAGTGTGAAGTGTGAACGTACGATATCGACGCTTGTGCTAAGAGGCTTCTCGCATAGGACGTGGAGGCCCTTCTCGATAGCCTTAATGGCTTGCTCGGCGTGTACTGTGGTAGCGCTGGCGACAATCACGGCCTGCAGCGTCGACTCCTTGCGCAACATCTCATCATAGTCGAGGTATGTCCGCAGGGGACCAAACTCTGCGACGGCGGCATCGAGCTCGGCCTGGACCGGCGAGCTGACGGCGATGAGGTCAGCCTTTGGCGTCAGGGTCGCAAAGTGTCTGGCGTGTCGCAGGCCTGTTTGGTCCCAATGTGGTCAGTCCATGTTGGAGTCGCTCGAGCTCAGTAGAAGAGCTCGAGTCTTCACCAAGGAAGCTAGCAAGCTACCCCTCGGTGGAATGAGGGGCGAGACGTACCCATGCGGCCGAGTCCGGCGACGGCAACGTTGAGCTTTTCTCCGACCATTTTGTTCTGATTTGGGGGTTGTTTTGTAAAAGTTTTGAGGATTGATGTGATTTTTGAGTCGGATAGAGTCAATTGGGTTTCAATTCTTGCAATCCGTCAAGGTACACGTGTGAATAAAGGTAAAGAGACCACGGCGATACTGCACAGCTTCAACTTCGAGGAGCTCTGGGTGAAATACGGTCTCTTTTAACATCGGCGGCCCTTGCTCTTCCTGGTTACTTCAGGAAAGTCTCCAGCAAGCCAATTGAACACGCCCTGAACGACCCGTCCCAAAGAAACCGAATGCCATCCCAACGCCGGCGGGCAAGAGCCTCGTAGAGTCCTCCAAAACCTTCGAAACTCGGCATCTCTATCGGCACCTCTTACCATAAGCGGTAATTCGTGATTCTCGTCCCCAGATTTAGATCGCCTCCCCAGAGTTGGCGGCAAGTTTGTGGGGGAGGAGGGCTTGGGGGTGCGGGGTAGACTAGACACATAAGACCGGCTGGTCCTATTTTCTGTGAAGAGTTACACCGCATGTTTTTTTTGGTTTGGTTTTTGTACTCTCCGAAGACCGAAGGCGCTTAATGCACGTTCATCTTTTGGGCTTGAGGTGTCTGTTTGCGCCGGCTGCGTTTCACGGGACCGGACGGATGCATCGGCGAAGCCAAGACTCTTCCAAGTTTCTCCACAGATCTGAGATTACTTCTTCTAGCAAGCGTCGCCGATGCTCCGCTTCTTTCTTCCATCCTCCTCCTCTTCGTCCGCCTATCCCAGCCGCCGCCGACGTTCTCAACTCCCCGTAGCTCCTGAATCACGGACCACGAGCCAGGCGAGACTTGCCCTTCCGAGTTCGAAGAGGGAAACGACATAATATCCCCATCCCACCGGCCGGCGACGAGAAGGAGGTCACTTTGTCAGATCAAACTTGGACCAGCAAGCTGTAGCCGTGGTCAATCTGCGTCAGCAGTGCCCCGCGCTCATCCCCACGGGAGATGCCAAGCGCCACGAAGCCATGCGCAAGATGCAAAGGTATGTGCCCGGGCGCGCGCATGCGCGTGCCTCCCTGTCCTCGTGGTCTTTTCAGGGGTCCCACTGGTCTGACGTCAACTTACCTGGGGTACATCAGAGCGACATGAGAAGTGTAAGTTGCGTTGGTTTTTGTTATCTGAAGTTGTGTTTCCGGCATTGAGCCTGGGACTATGATTCTCAGTCATAAATTGTCACAGCTCACGACCTTCGGCAACTCATCTGAAGTCTTTCTGCGTATCTGACAACTGTTCGACGGACACAGGTGATGATCAACAACCCCGTTGTAGCAGATGCGAGAAGCGCAACGTCGAGTGCTTTCGTCCTGAACGACGGCCATCCTTCCGCCAGGGTTCTACTGCCAATTATGATGGAGCCTTCTCCCGGGAGCAGCGCTGGGTGAACAGCCGACCTCGAGCTTGTGAGTCTTAGCCTAGTGCAAAATTGCCCTGGGGGTGATGCCTTCAACCTCGAAACATTCTGACTGGTGCTTAAGTCCGATTCGACAGTCGAGCACCAAACAGCACTCCTGCTACGACTGAGGAGAAGGAAATCAGCAATGATACGCCCTCCAGTCATGCACAATCATTGCCGGATACCGGTGTCGCTGTACGCAACGTCTTACACGAGACCGGCCGCCCTCTCTCCGAGGCCCCGGCCCTCGTGAACCCCGATGGAGGAGTCGAAGATATCCAACCGCCAATACCGACACCTACCAAACGTCGAAGAACCGAGCCTGCGCTGCAAGATGGTGACCATTTCTTTTCTGCCTCACCAGCTGGGTCAGGAGCATCAGGAGCTTCTCCCTGGTCAAATACAGCCTTGTCAACTGGGAGAGTGCGTCTGAGAGAAGATGAGGCATCGATGCACAGTCCTCATGCTGTGCCTCAAAGCGTTGACCACTTCTCTCCTTCCGCCGGTAGTTATCACGCCACGAACCAAGATCATAATCTAGTCGGGAGCATACCGGATGCTCAACCATCCGAAGGCATCCAAGAAGCATGCCTATTACGGTATTTCGTGGAAGAGCTATCTCAATGGGTTACGTGCACACAGTTGCAAGAATTACACAGAAAAGTACAATCATTAACCCTTTCTCTCGTGTAGTTCGACCTCTGCGACGAAGAGAGGCATTTCCAGCTCGTCGTAGCAAGACGTGCACGCTCGTGCCAGCCCCTCCGTGACGCCATCTCCGCCGTCGCGGCGCGCCATCTATGCCGACATCCCAAGTTCTGGTCGGAGCCAGGAGGCGGAGGCGTCATTGTCTACCAACGCCAGCTCCTCCCCGATCTTACACCGCAGAGCGCTTTCGAGTATATGCTTCGCTGCATACCCGCGCTACACGAAGTCTCAAGCACTCAGGACGAGGAGTACCGCGAGAACCTGGCCGCTGCGGCGCTCATTCTTCGCCAGTTTGAGGAGATGGACCCTGAGGATTCCCAGAGCGTGCCGGGGTCAGATTTTGGGAACGCGAATGGGGACGGGAATGGAACGGTTCATGGTAATCTGAATAGCAACGTCAACTTTCTTGACATCACAAAGGCAATCTTGAGGGCAGCGCCGCCCTCTCGATGGTCTGGGCTCTTGAACGCCGTGTACTGGGTGGCGGTGAGACAGGAGATTTACTTTGCCCTGACACTGGAGCGGTCGCCGCAAATCACGGCAAGGCCGGATCAGGGACACAAGGTATCATTTGCGAATCGGCTTATTTGGTTCATGTCCGAAGTGGCTAAGTGGAAGATGGGAGACAGGATGGAAGAGGAATGGGGTAGGTCTTCTTGCTTCTGTGCGAGATTCTAGCATATCTGAGGGCCGAAGTTTACTCGATTACGATGACTGACGTATGTTATCCAGAGAGATTGCGGATCGAACAAGGTATCCTCGCGGCCGAATGCACGCGGCAATTTATACCCATAATACAGAGGCCAGCGGATAGGTCTCAAGGCGAGATATTTCCCTTGGTCTGGTACGGTTCTGATGTAGAAGTCACTGCGTTACAGCATTTCATCTTGGCGAGGATGATTCTCCTAGCTGAGGATCCTAGTCTACAGTATGCAGACGCTCCCCTATCTCCCAATGTCGATGGCTGCACTCCGCTGTCGTAGGTTCTTCCTGATTTTCGAGCAACACGCTGACAAAACTGGGTTTCCAGCGGACAAGGCTCAAACAGGCGAGCACATCGAGAAGCGGAACATCAGGTCCGAGAAATGACACTAGAGCTGTGTGGCCTAGCTATGCATCATCTAAGAGCACCGCCAAACTTGACGACTGCAGGGATAGGGATCATGTTATACGGGGACTATTTCAATGATCAGTGGGAGAGAGCGGTGTTGATTGGCGTGCTGGAGGAGTGGAAGAGCCATCATGCTTGGCCTGTGAGAAAAGGGTACCAAGCACTCGGTGCGGACTATGTCCCATGAGTGTTCCAGTCCAAAAACCCTCTGTATATGCGTCGTATAAAGAGGCATTGGTTCCGTGGATCAACTGACTCTATGATAAGTACCTACGTGAAATGAGTGAACCATCTACCTTGGGGTTTCGTCTGTTCTCAGGGTCTTCTTCCATTGGCTACCTATAACTAGCTATAGTGAGATAATATACGGTGGCCTGATGTTCCCAATTTAACGCCGACCAACGATGGGTGCTATTCGAAAGGGTTATCAGTGTAACATTTCTGTCCATGATTTTGGGCCTATCCTATCAACTGCGGAACGGCGACAAAGCATACGTTCTCCAGTTTTCTAAAACTTCGCTCTTGTACGAAGTATCTGATCAAAAGGAAGAAGGAGGGAAGGGTCAGATTAACGTATAATTAGCTATTACCCCTCATGAAAGTATGTACGCAATTACTATCGTCATTCCGCAGTTGATGGGATAAGAGCGACCAGATAAAACTTCAGTATGGGCCGTGCAGACATGGAAAGATCAATGGAAGGGGGTTTTCGCAACCAAGCTCTTGTACTCTATGTCAATCTGAACCGTTGTGCTAGAGAGTAGCAAATATCTATTTTGAAAGCATGGTAACTGAACCTTGAATTCATATAATAGTATTGTCCTTGAAGTGTCTTTGTCTTGATGTGGGAAGAAACCGTGCTCATATTCAGGCAGGATTTCGCGTCTCTGTCTTACTGCAAGGACCGACAATATGGGAGTCATAGTTGTTATTAGACGGGATCTATGTTGAGATATGCACAATGTTGAACGATCGATACTTAGGAACGATGAACTGAATTTCGGCATCCTAACTTGTCTCATGAAGTAGTTTGGCTACATGGAGCTATTGAAATCAAGGTTCATCTTTGCACTGAGTTGGTGCTTCCGCGCCATTGACGTTAAAATACGAGAGAGACGTCTCCCTAGCTGCTGGGAAGAATCTTGACAGTTCTGATTAGCGAGACAGGAATCGCAAGTTGAGCTAGCCACGTCCCAAATTGTCAGTGCCAGTGAGAATCACCAGGGGCATTTGTGAAATTGCAGATCGGACCAAGACAACACTTTCGAGCGCAACAAAGTCTAGTCACATTGATTATTCGATCGGGTAAGCGTGGACGATCTGTAACGCGCTGTTAGATCTGAACATCTTCAATTGGGGTACATATAGTGTCACGCGATTGCCACAGGGATATTCACAATCGATTCGTTGACGATGTTCGGTGCCTGGCGAAGAGGAGCCTGTCCAAACCCAACTGCGCTGTACTCTTTTAAAACCTCGGTTCGAGAGTCTTGTCACTCCGGTCCGAACCTACCTTCATCAGTGGTGTGACGGGCATCGCATGATCCCAAGGGCGGCACCGTGAGGTTACGCCATTTGCGGGTCTGATTTGCCAATTTGGCTCAAAGAGACATGGCCAAACAAATAATGTTACCACTTTACTTTGCAGAAGCTTTTGGAAGTTGTAGTCCAGGAACTCAAGCTGTCAGTCGCACGTGAAGTCTTCAGTTTTTGCTGATCCCCGGCCGGATCCGACTTGAAGAGCCAACCTTATTGGCGCGCGTCTTTAAGCTTCGGCAATCATCCATAAACATGGCTGGGACATCCCCACACAAAACCCCAGATCTCAACGGCAATGAACTAAGACGCGGGGAATGTAACACTGCCCTCGGCGAGCTTTCGACCGATGTGACGGCCTTTCTATGAGGTCACATTGCTGTCTGCGAAAACAACACACACCATACGCGCCAATGATCACGGTGTCGGACCTGCATGTGCTGTTAGCTAACCCCAACGTAGCCACTCTACCGTCTTGGGGGTGGATTCTCACCACTCGTTTACGAGTCACGAAATCAAGGAAAGCTTTCTTCCGAGCGCGCGAAGCTATTGATGATGATCTTGTTCACATTCTCTTGGCGTTGACATCGTATTCCCTCTCTTGAAGCTCAATGGCGGCGGCGTATATAACGTACCCCGCTGCTCGAGCAATGCCGGCTCTTGTCTTCCTTCAAGGCACCTGACTCTCTCGCCGTCGGCCTCATCATCTCCTCAACTTTTTACGGGATTAGTGTTCGAAAAATCACATCATGAAGTTCCTCGGAGCCGCCGTTGCTGGCATTGCCAGTCTGCTCTCCTACCAGGCTGTCGCGAGCCCCGTTCCAACCCCAGTCGAGGCCCGTCAAGCCAGCGGAACGATCTCGAACAATGTCATCTTCTCCCCGCCGTCTAATGCCGGCTGGGTTGACCCGCGCGTTCTGTACGCCCGCACCATCCAGCTGGACTCGGGCGACTTGATTGCAACCTGGGAGAACTACTCTCCTGAGCCTCCCATCGTCTACTTTCCCGTCTACCGCTCACAAGATGGCGGAGCTACATGGGCTGAGATCGGCCGTGTTGAGGACACCGTCAACGGCTGGGGTCTGCGCTACCAGCCCTTCCTCTACGAGCTTCCGGAGGCTTTCGCAGGCTATCCAGCCGGCACCATCTTGCTCGCTGGTAACAGCATCCCGACCGATCTGAGCTTGACCAAGATTGATGTCTACGTCAGCACTGATGGCGGTGCCAACTGGGAGTTCCTAAGCAGCGTCGCCAGCGGAGGCGAGGCCCTGCCCAACAACGGCTTGACCCCCGTCTGGGAGCCTCACTTCTTGTAAGTTCTACTCTAGCTTCACTCAATCTTCATTCCTATGATCTATGCTGACCAATTATTCCCTACGTAGGCTCCACAACGACGAGCTCATCATCTACTACGCCGACCAGCGCGACACAAAGTACGGCCAGAAGCTGTCCCACCAGACCACCACCGACCTCAAGACCTGGAGCGCTATCGTCGACGACGTCCATGACGATAACGCCTACGAGGCCCGCCCCGGCATGCCTGTCATCGCCAAACTGCCCAACGACGAATTTATCTTCGCTTACGAGGTCTGCGGCACCGACGGCTGCCGCGTTCACTACCGCCTAACCGCCGACCCGCTCAACATCCTCGCCGCCCCCAGCATTTCGCTCATTTCCACCTCTGGCACCCGCCCCGTCAGCTCACCTTACGTCGTCTGGTCTCCCGTCGGCGGCGTCAATGGTACCATCGTGCTTAGCGGCGGCAGCCAGTCCAACATCTTTGTCAACCGGGCTCTGGGTGATGCTAGCGCTTGGGTTGAGTATGCTGTTCCCCAGCCTAACGCTTACTCTCGTGCTCTTGCGGTGCTTGATGATGGTAGCAAGTTGGCTATCATTGGTGGTGGAAGACTGCCTCCTAGCAGCACAAATCAAGTTAGCATTAGCGTTGTTGACCTGAAAACTTTGCTTGGATTGTAGATAGATATAGCAATAGCATGACCTACTTATTTGAGAAAATTCAATGTTCAATATCGAGACTGTCAGTAGTCAAACGTATCAGTACTCTTCTGACCTTCGAGACATCCTCCCACTTCGTGAGGCTAACAGTCGTACGGGCGACTATCAGATGTGCGTCCGTACCCAAGTCGAGGGACAAAGTGCATCATTAGGCACCGTTTCTTGAAAAGAGAGAAAAAAAAAAAGCCGGCCAATAAATGAGGCCATGTCAACAGCACGGCATTGCCTAGTGGCGCAGTCATGACATGCCGGACAAGTCAATCTCTACCAATCACGGTTGCATCAGATGTCGCGGCCCGCCCAAAACATGGCGGACAAATGGGCAGTTTGCTTGCCACAGTTCGTTTAAAATCAGCAACATGCCCAACCCGTATCGTCCGGAGCCTGATTTTCTTGATCAGCTTGTATTGACGGTGCCTTTCCGCCGCAAGATTTGGGTTGCCAGCTATTCGATAGTTGATTGAAGCTTTGCTACTCCCAAGATGTCAGCTGGCTTTACGTTTTTACGTTTGGGAGTTTGGGGGACATTTTACAACTTTGCCAGATTGGTATCGCTGTCAGCAAGGCTTTGAGTGACGCACGCGGCAGTGTGCGCGAATACAAAGACCTACGTCACGACCTCGACCGATTTGTACAAATCTTGCACCATGTAAGTCGGCGAATCAATGAATAAACACAGTGGGCCTTTGAAAATGTCAAAACTTGTACTAATGTAAGACGTTTGCCCACGTACCTAGGTTGTTGCAACATACCAAGAACGAGAACACTCCGAATGGTTATCGGGGATTAATTCTCTGATCGAATCGGTCTCCCAAGATTGCACGTCTGACTTACAAGAAGCTCTTCACTATTTCCAATCGAAATATGGACCGTCACTTGGTGGCCAAGAGCAGCGCCTGAACACAACAGCCATCGGTAAAAAGGTGGAATACGCTTTCAGAGAAAAGGAGCGACTCCGAAAACTACGAGAAAAGTTATCACAGGCCACTCAGAGACTATCTCTTCTATTGGCCATTCACAATTAGTATGGTCTCTACTATGTCTTGATCTTCCCTAATTCTAGTCACCAGAGATTTGCTTACTTGCCATTCATGGAAATTTGTAGCAAAGCAGCTCGTGTCGATAATCTCACATTAGAGAAGCGATATCAGGAAGTGCTTTCAACAGTGGAGGATATATCCAAAGACATCGAGCTGCAAAGTATGCAACTTTCAGAGCAGCATGCTAGTGTCAAAGTCCTGATAACTACACTAACTACTACGAGCGATCACTTGCAATGGAGAGCAACGAAAGATCAAAATTTGGCAGAGGAACTAAGAAACAACACCTCAAGTATCCGGGCGCTATCAACCATGTTTGAAACAACCTTCAGGCTTCTCGTAGAGGAGCGTGAGAATGCAACCTCTCAAACATGTTTCAGAGGCCCCGGCCCAGCGTCTCAGGCTCCTCTCCTCTTCGAAGATTCATTTGGCACTATATCAGCACTGCCAATGGACTGGCTGTTCTCCTGGGAGGTAAGTTCCTTTATCCACATGAATTAAGTGGTTCAATACTGACCCGAGAAGCATCTACGGTCGATGATTCAAAATCGATTTGAGCATCAGTTAGGCCACCAGAAAGTCATTCGTGGCGAGTATGTATTGGAAGATGACCTCAGCGGAGTAGAGATCATGTCCCTACCCTGGGCCCAGGTAATGAGGCCTGGTAAGAAAATAAATATGGCGATGAAGTTCCAGAGTGTCACCGAGGAAGGCAGAAGCAGAGTGACTGAGGGCTATACCTGTCCGGGTTGTGAGGCAACTATGTCGGTAAGGCTCGACAGCAATGGCAACGTCATGTGGTAGCTGCCCCTGTCCGCACAGCAACTCAATGACCAAAGGCTAAGCTAGAATAGCGCGACCACCGGCTGTGGCATGTGGGTGAAACATTCACGAGCAAAACAGGATGCACCAGTACTGTCTGGATCATCGAACTCAAGCGAGGACGGCAGCAAAGATGCTCCTCGACACTTCCACCGCGTCTCTTTCGACATTTTTGTTGTACCATCGCGTACCTCAAGAGGGGGGCCAAGATCGAAAAAGTATGTCCAGGTTTGGACATGTGTAAGTTTACTCTGGAACCGATAGCCATGAGGAGACTCTGTCAATGTTTGTCTAACTTTGGCTTCTAACAGTGCTTCTGTGGCGACTCAGGAATTACCACCCGTATTGATAGGTGCCCGAGTTGTGCCTATAGTAGATGCACTCGTTGTCAAGTTCAAACTACACGAGTACGGTGATGATTGGTATCATCAAAGCGTTCTAACCCTATGTACTGAGAAAAGTATTAAGCCTCAACTCGAAAGCACGTACCCACTTGTCAAGTATTACCTAAGAGTTACTCCTGGATTCATTTGCCAGGACTCTTTATCTCACGGCTTCAATATTCTCATGTACTATTTCCTTTTCTTCTTCATTTTTCACTATGACACTCTCAAATGTTCACAGAATCACGGACTTGAATACTTATTTCCTAGACGCAATTGTTTCTGTTGGTATACACGTCAGAAGGGTAAGGCCTTCCGACAGGTATAAAACTTATTAATCGTAAATTGACTGCGTAATGGGGATGTGGAAGAAAAAAGTTGGTGAGCAGAGCCCACGAATCCTCTGTTGGGTGTACGTTGGTGGAGGGCCTTTTGTGTGGGTCCATACCGCCTTCTAGATCCACCTTTTCTGCCCAATATTCCTACACTTTCCCTGAGGAACCAGATTAGGCTTGAGCCCACCCCCTATTGGAGAGTAGCCGTGCTGGTTGATCTTGTTGCGTGGACACCGTCTTTCCTGCCCTTCGCACTTGGCCCGCGACATGACGGAGCCGTTGTACTCTTAAGACAAACTCGTCTCGGGGCTCACAGTTACAACCAGCTCTTGACGCAGCCCTACATGCCCCCTGGAATCATCCAGTACACACCAGAAGGCGACTGAGAGCACATCGCGCCCGACTTTGTGGCATCCTTCTGCCTCGGCAAGAACGACACCTCAGCGGATCTAGTGAAGCACGTTCTGTACATCCACCATACAAAGGAGGACAACTGAAACCTGTGGCGGGTCTACGAGAGGCACCACCGTAGTTGATTTCGCTGCAGAGCTCGTCCTAAACTCGCCCAGCACACTATGAGGCCAGCGAGTCCCACCTTGAGCCCGCCGAGGGATACGTCTCAGGATCGCCGCCATATGTGTTTCTTGACATAACGATTTAATCCGGAGCTGTGCTGGAATATGTGTGGCATGAGTGTGATCTTCTGCAGGAGACAGTGGGACTATGAGAGTACCGCCGATGGATCGTGGGAGGATAGAATATGAAGGATGTGACGATGCGGGCAAGAGGCTGGCCTCATGCTGTTTTGCTGCAGATGCCACCAAGGGGTGTTTGCAATCTTTGGAAGTTCCCTAGTAAAAAGGAGTAGTCTTCGAGTTCAAAAGAGCCAGTGACTACCCGGGCCAGGCATACGGGCGAAGGGTGAAGAGTCGCCGCATGAAGCCTTCTGATAACATGGAAGCAACCGAAAGCAGGAAAACACTTGACTGGATGCTACAACGCTCGTTTCTCTTCATTCACCACGAAATTTCAACAAGATTAGAGGATTGGATAGGAAATTTTAAAGGCCGAGGTTGCATTGATTCATTCAATTGACGAGACCACCACCTATGCCGGGATATCGATCTGCACCTTCTATACACAATTTTCTCCACAACAACTCCTATGACACCCAAACGCCGTCTAAACCGTCTAATATCTATCCTTTTCAGCCTTGAAGATCTAAGTCCGGAGAACCGCAATGCCAGAAATAGTGCGGTTATCATCAGAGAAGATCTTCTTCTTCTCCGACCCATCCATCTTGCAGCGGTAAATGCTGCCGCCAAGATCGCTGAAGTAGACGTGACCATTCTCTTGGTCTAACTTAACACCAATCGCCTCATTGAGGTGTCTCACCAAAATCTCATACTTCTTGGATCCCTCAGATAACAACAGCAAACCCGTCATAGGGTCAATGTTAGCCCGATTGAGCGTGTTGCCCTTGGGGATCTCTCCCCGATCAGTCCAGAAGATGGTATGCGTCTCCTCGTCAACCTCCAAATCAATCGGCTCCGGCAAGTCACCGAGGAAACACTCAATATCCTCTCTCGTCTCAGCCGTCTTGCCCGCCGGCATTTCGATGTTCGCGCAAAAGATGCGGCCCTGCCCGGACTTGGGTGCGCCCTTTTGCGTCCAGTAGAACTTGCCCAGCTTTGGCGCGACGGAAATGCCGACGCACCACGTCTTCAGATCCAAGGCGTCGGTGCCACCGATGATTAGGGTCTCGAGGTCGCTTCCGTCGAGATTGGCACGGTAGACTTTCATGCCTTCACGGTCGCAAAAGTAAATTTTCTTGGAGACGGGTTCGATGACAAGTTGTTTGGGGGTGTTGATAGTGCCAGGCTCGAAGAGGGACTTGACGTCGGTGCCGTCGAGGTTTGAAGAGAGGACGGCGCCGTCTTGCTTGCCCGGTGTACCCATGCATGTCCAAATCATGCGTTGGGTGTCGTTGGCGTCAATGTCGATGCCGTCGGGAACGTGTTGCCGGTCGACGAGGACGCGCTCTAGCTTGCCTTCCGATGAGAGCTGGAGAACCTGTCCGGAGGTTGAGGCATCGTTCTCGTTCGCTAAGCCGAGATCTAGAGCGACGATCTTGGGGAGGTGGGGGTACAGTCCGCCTTTCGTTGACTTATTGCCGAGACGGCCCTTGGAAATGTACTCGCGTTGCAGGAAGTCGACAGTGTTTTCGGGAGACAGGCCGCGCTCCTTGACGTAGTGGTCTTCAATGAACGCGACGGTATCGAGACCGACCTCTGTTGTTTCATTAGCCACTTGGTCTGCGTGAGAGTTGTTGATGGATGATGCACTTACCGTCCATCATCGTGCAAGGCCCCTTGCCGTGCTTGCTGAGCTCGTAGAAAAGAGTATCAATCTCCTCAGGACTCGACACGCCCTCAGCGAGAATCGATAGCGTCTCTCTCTTGATCGCAGCCCACAATCGGTTGAAAACAAATCCAGTCGATTCCTTGCGCGCAGTAAACGGCCTCGTTCCAACCTCCTTCTGTCTCTCCGTCATGAACGGAAAGATCTCAGGGTTCGTGAAGCCGTCCGTCATCAGCTCGACAACCATGTTGTGTGGAGGCATGTAGTAATGCGTGTTCATGATGCGCGTCTTGGTCTCATCCCTCACTTTACCGATCATTTCTGAGGATCTGTACGACGATGAATTACTGGCGAGGATGGCGTCCGCGGGCGCGTGGGCTTCTAGGTCCGCAAAGGTGTCTGTCTTGATCTGGATCCGTTCGGGGACGGCTTCGATAACAAGCCAGGCGTTTGCGACGGCGGTCTCGAGATCGGTAAAGACTTTGACGGTTCCTGGGCGCTTACGACCTGATGCTGGGTATGTGTCTACATTTTGCTTGACGTAGTCTAGGCAGGGCTGGTGTTGCTTGGAGTCAGGTTCGCGGACTTGGACATTGTAGCCGCCGGATGCCCATGTACAGGCTATTCTGCTTGTTAGCTGATCATCGAAAATCACGAATACTAGAAATGGTGATTTAAAGCTCACCAATGCGACGTCCAAGTACGCCACCGCCGAGTACAGCGATCGGGCGGTCGCCATAGTTCGAGGGTAGTGAAGTCATTGATGCGGTAGGAATTATTTAGAGTTGAGGATCAAAGTAAGGGTTCAGGGTCCAATCATGTAAGATCTACGGCGCAGAATGACACCTCAGAAAAGCCAAGACGGCAGATGAACTTATATATGCATCGAAGACGCGCCGCAGATGAGGCTAGAAGCTAGAGAAAGCTTCCGTCAAACATTTCGGCGGAGCACATCGTCATTCCCCTGAGCACTGGCGAGTCGCCGAGGTTGCCGGAGACCCGTCGAGTCGGTCATCGTGGGTCCCGATTACGAGCCTGCACATCTTAGTAAGGCGTCTTGAGCGGTCTGGTTTGGTTTGGTGGCGTGAAGAAGTTGGAAAGGGAAAAGACGCATTGACGGCTGTGGGTATGACGCAAGTCTTCGTTGATGGGCCTTGGACCATGAATCGGGTTTCGGTGCCGATCGCGGGTCGGTGTCGCCGGCCACGCACCCACTTTAATCTTGAAGATGTCAATTTCCAACAACAAGTTGCCGTGTTTGAAGCAATTGGTTTGCTATGCAGACTGGAAGGAAGACTAGAATAAGGTGAATCCCGTCTTATCTTCCTGAGCGCGAGATGGCGAGACAATTAGTTTTTGGGCTGGCAGACGCTACCTTTGTTTTTGGAAATAGAGCTACATCCCAAACCCGTCACCTCGGCATCTGGTGGGGCGGCCCCGTTCTTATGTCCGGCCTCGGCACCCGCGAGCTTGTAAAGTGGGTCCTCCAGGGCCCGGCCTCGGCAATTCCAAGAATATTTGGCAGGGTCCGCGTCGGTCTCGCTCTGGACGGAAGGGGTCGCTCTCAAAGTGCCGTGCGACATGGGGGGTTCGCTTGAATTATTTCCGATCAGGCGCGGACCTTATTCCGTTGCATGCGGTCCACCCTATTCGAAATACACACTCGTTCTCCCCGTGAAGACCTCGTTTACTCTGGTGTTTAACAGCAGTTCTGCTTCTGGCCTCCCCACGGCTTGCCCTCCAATAGTCTTAATATGTGAGTGATTCAATTGAAGCCATGTACACATCGATTTATGTAGAGCAATGATCTGGGTCACAGATCGCTATCGATCAATCTTACCCTGCCTAGTTGCTCATCGACACTTTCACCAGCAGCGAAAAGCCATCACAATTCGTTTCACATTCCAACAAAAACTCAGGCCAGGAACACTTTAATTTTACTGCAATTCCATCTTTTGTAGCTAGTAGCTACAACGCCGCCAGGCGGCTTCCCCCCGCACGATTAAAGGACTCTCAAACCTGCTCATCGTCATCCTTCGCAACAGGTCCCTTCGTGATGGACCCTGTCTCCCCCGCCTCAGCATTAAGCACACGTCGCTTCTCCTCCTTATGCGTAAGCAGGGTGAGCCCGCTGGTCCAGATAATCAAGGCAATAGAGCTGGCGATCATGGCCCACATACCCCTCTGCGATCCCAAAAATTAGCACATATCCATTCCCGACAGTCTGGTTCTCGAACTCTGTCCGGGCAGAAAATTAAGGGGATAACTTACGGTAAACCACGGTGCCATCGAAGCGCCGTAAAAGATGATGCTCCACCACGCGTTGACGGCATTACTACCCAGATTCATGCCCGCAAGAACGACACCGCGGAAGATGCCCTCCTCGTACCGCATCGCATCATTGCACCATGCGAAGAACGTAGCCTGGCATGCATACACCGCTCCGGCCCAGTAATACGCCCCAAACACAACCGCCGTCGACCCCGCGCTCGTGGGGTCTCTAGCTGCAACGAGAACCATCGCAGATGTCACCACGCCCGTGATACCGATGAAGTACGCGACGAGGTACCGCTTTCCGCCCAGGAAATCCGTCAGGGTCGCCCAGAAAAGTGTCGAGACGATACCGACAGCGGGCACGCCGGTCGGGTAGTTGTTGAGCTGGGCGACAGTGTACTTGTTCGTCGGATGGCTCTTCATGTACAGACCCAAGAGGGAATTTGTGCTAAAAGACTCTGTCTCGCCGGCAATGATCCAGAGCATGACGAAGCCCCACCAGTACCACGACGTGAGCACCTTCTTCGCGAAGCGAAACGTCAGCGGCGAACGCTCCTGGATCTCGGGCACGCGGGACCGCGCCAGAACTTTCTCCTCCTCCGTGAAGTAGAACGCCGTCGTGGTGTGAGGCGTATCGGGGAAGCACACAAAGCCGTAGATCGCAACAGGCACAGTCATCAGCCCGTCAATGATGAAAAGCCAGCGCCACCCAGAGAGGCCGTGCAGACCATTCATACTGCTGTGGATGCCCGTCTGGATGAACCCGCCAAAGAAGGTGCCCGCGAGGCCAGAGGCCGTGAAGATGCCGCTACGCTTGCCGAGCTCGCGCTCCGTGTACCACGCGCCGAGGATGTAGTGCGTTCCGACAAAGGTCGAGGCCTCTGCAATACCCTGGAAGAAGCGGATGGCCATGATGGATTGGGGGCTGTGGACGCTGGCGGTGCACATTGTCAGGCCGCCCCAAATGATCATCATGAGGGGGAACCAGATACGCGGCTTGACGTAGTGGAGAGACAGGTTGGAGGGGATTTGTCCGATAACATAGCTGGGTAGGTTGTCAGTCATTGGCAATGAGTAATGAGACTAATAGTCTGATGACATGCTCTCAGACTTACCCGACAGTGAAGCATGTGTTGATCTCGTTGAGCTGGTTCCCCACGAAGCCCAGCTCCTCCTTCATACCGGAGACGTATGCATTGTTCAGATTGGTACGGTCAAGCTAGGAAGACCTGTCAGAATCTTGTTGCCCGAATGAACACTCGCAGAAATCTGAAAAGAGGCATTGACTCACGTAGTTGACCAGATAACTTAAGCAACAGAATGTCAAGATGAAGAAGTCAATCTTAGAAACCAGCTTCTTCTCCCCTGGCTGGTACTGCACGTTCAGATATTGGCGGACTTTCTCGAACACCATGTTGGGCAATGCGTTCGGCAAGGAAGACAGTAAAAAACCAGACCTCCGTAGTATCAGCGAATCAACTGATGGTATGCGGTGACAATTCAAGCACACCGTTCACCGGAAAGATGCACCTAAACCCTGACCGACGTCAAGTTCTTATGAATAACGCAACCGCAGAGGCACAGACTCCTTGCACCTCGTTGCTAGCTGTGTTTCAAGCTGTCAAGAGTCAAGCTTGAGACTTATCGCGGGCCGGTATCTCCCAAGAGATAAGGAATATGGTCACAGGAATAAAAAAGCAGGGGTCTTGCGATAGGGCTGGCGTTGTTTTCCCCCCGTATGGCAATCGAGACCAGGCCTCAGGGGATAATCAGCGTCACAGGAACCTCTTAGGCGGTCTTTGACATCCTGTTTGAGTATGGATTCTTATCTTAATACTTTTGGCCGTGGAGGCGATCGGTGTTTACCCGACTCAGTTGAGCTATTGTCGGCTCCCGTGCTGGTCGGCTCCTGTCGCAAATTGTTATGATTTGATGTTCCTGTTGCACTGTGAGCGACCAAGGGACCTTTATCAAATGTTGGAGATCGCAGTCACCCCGCAACGAACCAGAATGGAACGATAAGCTTACAGCTCTCCCCGGAGACGTCGTCCGATGGTTGTCCGAAGACTTAGCGAGGAGCTCGGAAGCGTAGTTCAGCCTCTTCAAACACGCTGGATACGCCCTCGAGGTCGCCGCGATAGTTCGCGGGTTAGAAACGGCCGATGTGGTGTTGCGTAGTCCTTCAAGGGCGAAAGTGCGCAAGTGCATTCAATAGCCAATGTTCGGTAGCGATCGTGGAATTGACAAGACTCGGGAGTATCGAATTGAGATTTTTTTTTCGTAGGGCTAAGGGTCTTTAGACGCGTCCCACTTTGGTTGAGCGCGTCTTCGATCGACTTTGGGGGACTTGATGAAGAGAAGATCCAAGTTACGCCTCCACCATCTTATTCATGAAGTATTTTGATCATCCACGATCGTACATGTAGGTTTTACCGGTGCTGCGGTAAAAGAAACCCGGCCGCGACCCTGACAGTCACATGGCGGCTTCGATTCCGGTGCGACAGCGGAGCTAATTGATTGGGCTCGTTTTGTAGACAACGGCAGTCTGCGTCATCGACCATAGTGTGTAGAGCACCGGAATTGTCCTCCCGCGTTACACGGCGCGTTAGCTTCAGCAAAACCGTCACTGTTGACGGCTTCTTTGACAGACCGAAGTGAGAGCTGGCGTGCGCGCGGGGGGAAATTAGCGTCTTCTCCAAGACTAGGGGCCAGTACGGATGCAAGCTGCATAGTGGCGCCCCTCCATAAACGTGGTTTGAAGGGTGTCTTTACCCACGGGGTCGCGTTACGAAAGCTCCCCGCTCCAAGAACCCATCGAAACGAGTGGACTTGATACAAACTTGACAGTCTGTAGTTTTGAGCTTATCAATGTGAATTCAGTTGGTGGTCGAAGTCTCCGCGCGCCATTTCAACATGAATGTTCCCCGGCTGTCTTATCTATCAAGACAACCCCCCCCCCCTTCGCAATTTCCACAGTTCCCGCGGATCCGAACTGGCACTGTAACACGTCCCTCCTTGGTCTCCTCAACTAAGATCTCGGGCGATGCGACCCGAAGCAAATCACCGATGACCGGTGCAGCGCGGGGCGGACTGTTCGCGCCATATTGCTCCTAGACTACCAATGTAGTTAATACTTAGGCCACCAGTAGCCGTGGCTGGTTTATTTAACAGATTCGGAGCCGGGTGTCTAGACTCAACCTGAAGAGGCTATCGTTTTCCCTGGCCACTTCGTTATCTTATCGTCCGCGGACTCTAGAGACAACCTCGTACGCAACATCCAAGTCAAATCTCTCAGCAAACTAGTACTTCACCATGGGTAGCATTAAGACTGAGGCGTGGGAGCTGGCGGCCGCCAAGAAACGAGAGTCACTCGCGGCATCTCTCCCCTCAGAATGGCTGGTTCCCAAGAACCTCCTGCCCCCAGACTCCCAAGACGACGTCACATCGTGGCCCGAGACTTCGGGCTGGTTCACCGAGAAAGAGCTCGCCATCACGAACAGCGACGCCGCCGACTTGATTCCCAAGCTTGCATCAGGAGAGCTGAAGTCGCTGGAAGTAACAAAGGCATTCTGCAAGAGGGCCGTCGCCGCTCATCAGTTGGTGAGTAACCCTCCCCTCTTCTTCACTCCCTTCACTTGTCGGTGACCTCTTCACTCACAGGGGGAATCCAGACAAACTGCCTTTCAGAAACGTGTTTCGACCGCGCACTCGCAACAGCGAAAGCCAGAGATGAACATCTCGAGCGCACTGGGAAGCCCATCGGCCCCTTCCACGGCCTGCCTATCTCCCTCAAGGACAACTTCAATCTCAAGGGACTCGATGCCACCGTAGGCTTTGTTTCTCACATTGGCAACCCCTCCGAGTATGATGCTGCGCTCGCGACGTTACTGGAGGAGGCTGGCGCCGTCTTTTACGTCAAGACGAACGTGCCGACGGCGATGATGATTGCGGAGTCAGTCAACAACGTCTTTGGCCGGACTGTGAACCCAAGGAACAGGAATCTTACTAGCGGTGGAAGCTCTGGCGGAGAGTCTGCGCTTATTTCGTTCAAGGGCAGTCCGCTTGGTATCGGAACGGATATTGGTGAGTCTTGATCAGTCCTTCTCTGACTTGAACTTGAACGAAGGTCGGCCGCTGACTCTCTCTCATTCGTGTAGGCGGTTCTCTCCGCATTCCCGCCGCTTGCACAGGCATCTTCACCCTCCGACCATCCTTCGGCCGCTTCCCCACCCTAGGCTGCCGCTCCGGAATGGGCGGTCAGGAAGCCGTCCAGTCCGTCAACGGCCCCATGACCCGGACCATCACCGATCTCGAACTCTACAGCAAAACCGTCGTCAACCAAAAGACTTGGCTTCACGACCCGCGCTGTGTACCCATTCCGTGGCGCGAAGAGAAACTCCCCTCCAAGCTGAAGATCGCAGTCATGTGGAATGACGGCATGGTCAGGCCCACGCCACCCGTAGCCCGCGCACTTAAGGCAACTGTCGAGAAATTGAAGGCCGCTGATAAAGATATCGAGATTGTCGACTGGGAGCCTATTGATCACAGGCAGGGGCTGACTTTGCTCGAGCGCATGTTTGTTGCTGACGGCGGTATCTCTATTCAGAAGGAGCTTGAGAAGACGGGAGAACCACTCAGGCCTGAGATGGCGGCGTACGGGACTGCGAAAGAGCTTGGAACGTATGATATGTGGCAGCTTCACATTGAGCGCACCGCTTTCCAGAAGCGGTACCTCGATCGCTGGACCGCGGCTGGGATCGATGCGATTCTGTGCCCTACGACGCCATTTGCGAGTGTGAAGAGCGGTGCTTTCAAGCATGGTGAGTTTCAAGATTCTGACTGCGTTTCTGTCGTAAGTCATCATTCTAACGCACGGATATTCAGTTGGATACACGGGTGTGTACAATGTCCTTGACTATTCCTGCGTTTCCTTCCCGACTGGCTTGACAGCAGATCAAAGCTTGGACACGCCTCTCGACTCTACAGAAAAGCCACTGAGCTCAGACTGTGAGGCCATCCATGCCGATTGTAAGTCATTCCCATCGAATTGCCAGTCAAGAACAAAGGGACTAATCGTTTTTTATTCAGATGATCCTGCTACGGTACACGGCATGCCTATCAGTCTGCAACTAGTTGCTCGGCGGTTAGAAGAGGAGAAGGCGATCGCCATGGTTAAACATATTCTCAACACGATTTGAGTCTACATAGCCAGCTTCGAGTAGATGTAACTCTAAGAATCAAGAGTTGTATATGATCTAAGTCGTGGTTCATAATGGACCTCGAGCTTTTGTGCCGAGAGGAATATGGTCTCGTTCTATAGTCATCATACACCTTCTACCGTTTATCATTCATGTACCCATGTCGTCTCAATCGTCACCAACCTTCGAACCCCCTTATTTCACAGCGTAGCTGACCTTTGACTTCCCCTTACTCCTTGAAATCTTCTTCACAACAGTCTCCCCGCACAAGTCTGTCGTGTCAACATGCGTACCGCCGCAAGGGTACACCTCGGCGCCCACGATCTCCACAACCCGGAACTTCTCCCCAGGCGGCGCAAGACTCCGATCCGGAATCAGCCTCTCGAGCCCGCGTGCCTTGAAATCGTCCTCATCCCAGAAGTCGACCTTGACCGGCATCTTGGCCGCCAGAAACTCGTCAACTTTGCCCTGGATCGGCTCCTTCCACTTCCCATCGATGAGCCCCTGGAACTCGCACGATGCCGAGTCAGGGAAATGCGAGGCTTTAAGCTCGTCGAAACCCTCGACTTCCTTTTCGAGGAGGTGCCGTACCGCTGCGCCGAGGACGTGTCCTGCTGTGTGGAGGCGGGAGTATAGCAGCCTCTTTTCCACGTCGATGGCTTGGTCTACCTCGTCACCCTCTTTGAAAAGTGTGCCACCGTTGAAGCGTCCGAAGTGCAGCACCTGGCCGTCGCGCACGGCGTCCATGCGGACAGAGTTGACGGCGAACGAGGAGCCTGCGGCGGTCATGGAGCCGATGTCGGAGGGCTGGCCGCCACCTTGGGGGTGGAAGATTGTTTGCTCCGTGACGACGACATGGTCTTGGTCGCTTCCTTCTTTGAAGAGACCGCGATTGGCTTCTTCGAGGTCTGCAAAGGGGCGGATCGCGGTGACGATAGTCTTTAGGGTGGTGAGTTTTGCATTGTGCTGGAATGCCAGGTATGTCCTGGCTGCTGTTGATGCCATGGTTGTGTCTGTGTCCGTATATGAGCCCGTTCTGTGCCGAGGACGATCCGAAAATGAGATTGGTTGATATCAAGCCAAGTCTTAATGAGCGCCTGTGAATGCTCTATAAGGCTGATAAGTTGTCGTGATGCCTTTTCTTCTTGGCTGTTCTAACGGGTTCTAGAGCCGGCGGGTTGACATGAAGGGCGCGCGAGTGATGATGAAATGTGGTCCGAAAGGCACTTTCGTAACGTCTGATGGGGCCTCGGAGCGGCGCGTGCACGCCCCTCCTGAAATTGTTGACAGGGGTTGACTTTTCCATCCTCGAAGGATGGGATTCAAGAGCGGCTGTCTGCCTTAATCCATTTTGAGCCCGAGTTAAGTTGTCAACCAGTTGAAGATCAACTCGAACTAACACAAGTTGTTCTGATGGAAAGTAGACAGACTAAATACGCTGAGCATACCTAATACTCATATTCTGGAAAGGGATATGGATGGCCACGTTGGTGGGGTTACATCTACAGCGATCGCGCATAAGACACGTACCGTAGGCGAAGGGGTTAGGTCGAGCACAATGCCACTACCAACAACACCCTCGTCAAAGAAACCGACATCATGTCGACCACATCCGTAGATTGGCGCAAACAAGATGCGATGTGCTCACTAGGAGACGCGATACTGGCACTGCCAAACCTTACGCTGACGCCACCGTCGCAGGATTTGTAGGGGCAATCAACGAAGGCACGACGACAGATGCAATACACTGGCTGGCCCGAGCATAACTCAGAAGAGAGAATCGACGCAAACGCGAACCGCGGGCGGGATGGGTATTCGGGATGGAAAAGGACAGCATGACAATACCGTAGACTTTTCTATGGCACTCCGTACCATCTCACCAGAAAGTCGCGGGTCTTTTTAGTGGAATGGGACATAGCTGATGCGACTTTTGTCTCCAATCGTCGATGTTGGTCTTGCTGACAGCAGCTGCTGGCATGTTTCTATCTAGCTTGTACTCCCCTCCGACCAATACCGGCTTCACCCTTCCGTCTGATGGCCTATGATTGGTTTTTGAGCCGGAATTAGTCTGGAAACCAGTCATGATGGTATTTATCGTCGGTTAAGACAAAGTTTGTAGCGTCGGCTCATGCAGACTTCTTCGAGACTTATGACCCCTTCCGGACGAAGAGAAAGACATCCTCTGCCGATAGGCCGTGTAAGTGATGTCAAGTTTCATATCAATCATCGAAACAATTTACACCCCAATGTCATATAACCTGAACTTGCGGAAATGCGCGGGCTTGGCTATGCGAGTGTCATCGAAAGAGGAAGTATGAACTCAAGACTACATGTATGTCTCAGCATGCAAGACTAATAAGGAGGCCAATCATACTGCAGATGCCTCATCGGCTTTACGCCGCTGGTGGTGGCCCGGTGTTCCCGTTTTATAACGCATGTCAGCCAACTTGCAACCGGCTCGGACCGAGTATCAATATTTGTTCCACCACCCAGTATGTGGATGAGCCAAGAAACGAACGCCTTGGGTACATATACTGCATACGATGCCCCGGTGTACTTTTTCTCTTGACAGAAAGTCGCTCAAGGCTAGCACAAGAACATGACTGAGAAGATATCACAAGTCGAGCGGGTGGTCCAATCAGACAAAGGTAGTGTTTTCTTCATGGCCCCAAATCATGAGCCTCACCAACGTTGACTCCTTTCAAGTCTGGGCTAGTCTCATCACGAGTATGAATTACCTGCCCGGCCTTCTGACTTTGCATCATTCCATCCTGGCCTCAAACACAATCTACCCGTTCATCGCCCTTCACACAGACTCACTTCCCGAGGAGGGCTGCGCCGCAATCGCTGCTCGAGGGATACCCCTCCAGCGGGTCCCTCGACTAAGCCCCTCAAACACAAGAGACTACTCAAGCGAGCCGCGATTCGAAGACACCTGGACGAAACTGACCGTCTTCTCTCTCACCGCGTACAGCCGAGTCATCCTCCTCGACTGCGACATGCTCGTACGCAAAAACATGGACGAGCTGATGATGGTGCCACTGAACCCTCCCGCAACAAGCACCACCATTACCACCGGCACAAAGGTCTTCGCCGCCGGTCACGCGTGCACCTGTAACCCTCTCAAGAAGCCTCATTATCCGACGAGTTGGGTCCCGGCCAACTGCCCGTTTACATCCCATCACGCCGACCCCGATGCAGCCCGGACGAACGGCAAGGATCTCACTCAGCAGCCGCTCGGTCTCCTGAATAGCGGTCTTCTCGTCGTGGTTCCCTCCACAGGTCATTACGATGCGATAGTAGACTGCGTTGAGAACGCACCTGCAGACTGGGTGTTTCCTGATCAAGACCTCCTCGCAAATCTATTCCGGGGACGATGGGTTGGGTTGCCATACGTGTACAACGCGCTGAAGACGCTGAGGTGGAACGGCGTGCACGATAACATTTGGAGGGATGAGGAAGTCAAGAACATTCACTACATCCTCAGCCCTAAACCATGGGCTGATCATGAAGACGATACATCGGGTCATGATGAGTCTCATCAGTGGTGGTGGGCAGCGGACGGGGACCGTAGGGCACGAGAGGAAGCTGACGGGACCGCTGACGGATACTGATATTACGTGCAGCAAACTATGTGGCATCATTGCGCAAGTCATTGACCAAAGGTCATCAATTTAGCTTCGCAGTAATAACGCCTCGACTGCCAGGCAGTGTCAATATTCTCGTCTCCAGCCTTTCACTGAGACTGATCTCTTCAAGTCTTCCTAATCAAGTGCAAGACCTAGGAATACCGTAGATCCAGGCTGGTATCTTGAAATTATATGTGATTCGGTGCACCCCCTTTTGATAGAACGGATCAATGTAGTTGACGTTAAGTAGCATTCGCTGGGATGCATGTCGCGGATGGTGTCGGGCGATGGTTTTCCTATGTTGGCATACAGCGTCCATCGCCTTTATTGCATTGGGAGTCCGCGGGGGTTTTGCCCGCCCTCGTCGTATCTATATTAATAGTCAAAATACGAGCGGCCTATGATTCCGCACCGCATGCACCCTCATATCGCTGACTCATCCGGATATTCCAAGTTCACTCAGTGACTGGGTGCGGCAAAGTGTTTACGCGCCGTGTCAGTTGCCAAGATGGAAAGAAGCGAAGCTTTTCCCGCCTTAAGATGGAGTTTGAAGCTGGGTGCTGTACATGTGAGTGGGTGTGCGTTGTGAGTGATGTAGGGACAAACTCTAAGTTACCACGTCGGATGGATTTAAGCTTCTTCTCCGCTGTCTGTCAGCAATATCGTCGAGATACAACTGCATGCAGTCGGTCTCGGTTTGACACGAGCTTTATGCACGGGCCGGTACCAAAAAGCCGGCGGCTGAAAGGATATATCTTAGAAGCTTGCATAACATGAAGCTCGCGTAATCAAATCGCCTAAGGTGGGCCGGACTTTCTTCACGGAGGAACCAGGAGAAAGGGTGAGGAGCAACTCTCGGCACCTAGCCGAAGACGCGCCGCTTCGATCCTCACGACTAACAACCGCGCGATCGGTCGCAGCGAGATCTTAAGATGCTAGCTTTCTTGGCTACCTTGGAACTCATAAACCTTCCCGATATCACAGCGGCAATTGCAGTTAGAACCTTAGAAAAGAAGTTCCGAATCGCGGCTATTAAAGCTCATATGGATGAACTCCTTCAAATCGGTCTCCCCGGTTCCATTGCCCATTCTGTCTGGTCCAGGAACCGCGACGGATCACTGATCTTTGCATCTGCGACACGATCTCAGGGAAGCAAGGCCAGCAACAGGGCTCTGGACGAAATGTTGGAAATATTGAGGAGTGCGTCATCCTCAGGGACGATGACCCTAACGGCCTATAACTGACTTCGGTATATCGCCCGGCTTGGTGCGCTAAAGCTTGCAACTTCGGACCAGCTAGTGACGCGGTCTAGGGGTTACATCGTGGCCATTGTCCAATCGCCAGTGTTGCCAATGCTCATTTCTTTCTTTTTTCAATTCTTCCCCCGTTGAAGTGGAGCTGGTATTGGATGAACGGTGGATATGCTGCGAGCCAAGAAGTTGTGCTTCATGAGAAAAATGTTTAGTCTATCTTGCATTTAAGACATAGCGAGGTCAAGATTTCGATGTAGTCTTCCGCGTACGCTATAATCTTACTATTAAGAACGACTCCATATTGCTAACTTCATGTTATCAACTTCTTACAAAAACATAGGTCAGCACAGCAGCAAGGATTAGAAAAGGGGGCGGAAGGGGTGAGCCTGGCAAGGGCGGAGCGGGGCGGATATGGGTCCGTGTTCGTCATGGAATGCGCGTATCCGCGGGATTGCCGCTCAAGCACAGGCTGCGTGAGTTCTAGAAAGGCCTCCAGTACTTGTTGAGTTTTATAGATGAAGTTGTAATAATAGCTGTAGTTTCTTGGGAGCTTCCCTTTAGAGAATCTTTCGTATCTAAGACGAGGCGTGATCACTAGGCAAGGTTGGAAGCTGCTAGGTGATGATTAGTGATATTCCCGATGTATTAATGTGTCCATTGATACCTCGCAAGAGGGTTGATCTCTCTGCATCTCTCCCGTGGCAACTACGGAGGTACGGAGTACTCAATTAGAGTGCGGCTCGTTCAGGACCCACTACACAAGGTGTGCTTGCACGCGTTCGGATGTACCCGCGGCCGCGGGAGAGGATCTCAGGCACCGCCTCCGCGAAGAAAAGCTTAAAGCCAAGAGTCAAGATGGAGAAGGATATGACTCGTTCTTCTTACTTGGACAGCAGAGATCGGAGGGATTACAAAGTTGACCGTGGATAGTAGATTAAGGTGGTCAGGGGTAAGGCAAACATCATAACAGAGACTTGACGAGTGGCAGAAGTGCAGCAAATGCCACAAGTTGCCACAACATCTTGAACCCACTCTGAGGACGCAATCTCCGCCACGGTGGCGGAGTATATTCTTCCTTTTCACAATGTCCCCTGGATGTTAGCCGCGGTCTCGTTGATTTCTCATGGCTATTGTGGCACGTTGACCAACCACCAGCTCGTCTAAGACTGCATGAAGTTCCCAATGCGTAAAACAAGTTAACTTGCTAGAGTGAAGGAGCAATCCACAAACTACATGTCGAATTCACCAAGAACATTGGGTCCACGAGCTTGTACTTGCCATATCGATCTAGATCCGAGCCGCACTAGTCTACTCTCAGCATCGGACTACGCGTCCTAGACTACAGATCATGAAAGCGATTCGTGCGAGGTAGCATTCTGAACGATGGAATAACCTCCCCGGGAGACCTTATCTCCATCCCCATGTGAGATGCAGCTGAAGTGCGGGTAGGAAGACTTGCCTCGGTGGGGGTTATGGATAACCTATGCAACGGGGGGGCTCGGTCGGTCCTAACCGACTTGGCTTATTGCGCCATGCGCAGGTACGCAACCACAGAAAATTCGAACTGATGCATGTTGACTGCCGAGTATCTCATTTTTGAACCGGCAGAAGTAATCTAGGTCAACGAAATGCCTTGAGGATGTTTGTTCACCAAAACCTGACTTACATAAATAGATGTTGATCTGTCCCAAGACCCAAAGACTTTCTTTCGGGGCAAGCATACAGTCTTTACTACAATCATCAACAAGCTTCACTCATTCTTTTACCATAAGTCTTCCTTTAGAGTCATTCTTTTACCTCTTCAAGATTAGAACATAATCAACCACTAGCAACAATGCCTTCCCTCTTGTCCACCGCAATTACCGTCCTCGCTGCCTCTCAGGGGGTCCTGGCAGCCTGTACCAATCCTTCTGTCCGCAAATCTTGGTAGGTTTCGCCCTCTTCCTTTCAGCGACTGCGGCCATAATGAGGATACTGGCTAACACGAGACCAACAGGTCGGCCCTGACTGACGATGAAAAGACATCGTACATTAGCGCGACTCTCTGCTTGATGGACCCTGCTCAGGCTCCCGCCAAGACGGGCTACGCTGGCTCCACCACTCGCTGGGAGGAACTTCAGGCTGCCCACGTATCTCAGGCTCAGTTCGTCCACTCTGTTGTAAGTCTTCACAATTATGATACGTCGAATGAATGAGCGAGTGCAATATCGAAGATGATGGCTGATAGAGAGGTTGTTATCTAGGGCGCCTTCTTCCCTTGGCACCGTTGGTACATGACCGTTCAGGAGAATCTCCTTCGCGATGACTGCGGATACGCCGGTCCCATGCCGTAAGTGATTCATTGCAGACCAACTTATTCCTTTTGCCCGGCATTATGCAGGGCTTGACGCAGATGTATCAATATCAAATACGATCTTGTCACTAACAAGATGACCAGGTACTGGGACGAGCAGGCTGAGCAAGCCGTCCTACCCTTGGAGAATGCGAGCATCCTGAACGCTAGCGCCACTGCCGGCTTCGGCTCCGCATCGCTCGATGAGAACGGTTGCGTCGTCGACGGGCCCTACACGAATGTCAGATTGACCCTCGACACCGAGCTCAACCGCGTCGCCCCTGTCTGCCTGAGTCGTGACTTTAAGCAAAAGGAGTACGACCAGGTCGCCCAGAAGATCATCGATGCTTGCATGGCGCTCGAGGACTACGTGAACCTCAACAACTGCCTGGGTGCTTCCCCTCACACCGGTGGTCACTACGCCATTGGCGGTACGGTAAGCAATGACTCCATTCTTGCAGTAAGGTCCTTCTAATTGTATCGTTCAGATGGATGACCCTTCCCTCTCACCCGGTGACCCCCTCTTCTTCCTTCACCATACCAACCTCGACCGTCTCTGGTGGCAGTGGCAGGCCCAGAATGAGTCCCGCCTGACCGACATTGGCGGCAACAACGTTGCTCAAGGTTTCTTCTGGGCTGGCGTGCAGCCTTCCTCCCTCGGTGTCGACGCCTTTCTACCCTACTTCAACGACAATGGCAACGAGACTACCCTCGACCACGTCATGTGGATGGCTGGAATTGCAGAGAACATTACCATTGCTGAAGTCATGGACATCAAGAGCGATGCTATCTGCATTGAGTACCAGTGAGATCAATTCACTATGCGTCCAGAGCATCTTGCTTTACTTTGTTATTTGAACTTGGTCTTTTACTAGATGGCAGTACTAGGAGAGTTGACGAGAGCATTAGAGTATCCCCCTAGTTGGGCTGAGCGATAATGACATGTTGTTCCCAGCGGATCGATATCATATAGACTGCGTTGCTTCAATCGAATTCCTGACATCCACTCTCCAGGGCAAAATATTGCTGCTGTGCTTGTGTTGATCGGCTGTTCCTCCCGTGTTCGCCTTGGCTGAAGTGAGAAATCCGGTCGATGCCTTCAAATGAGGCGAGCATGTGTGCTATGGGAAAATCCACGTCTCAAAAATGCCACGCGGGTTTACGATTCATCAAAGTATGAACCAAGCAGCCGAAAAAACTCTTTGAAATCCCTGGCTCCAGTGTAATTGCGATATTGTTTGGGCTGTGGAATTTGCCTAACAAAGAGTACTTGAGCATAGAAGGACGACGTCTTTTCCTCTCTCAAGCCTTGCTAACATGAACGATGATCTTCCCCGTAGTCCGTCCTTCCCTGAGCTTCGCATACGCTTTTGGTGCTTCTCGCCACTCAAACTTCTCTTCAATTAACACACGCACCCTCGCATCCAATATCAATTTACCAATCTGTTCCAGGTCTTCTCGACTCGGCTTAACCCTCACAGACTGGAACCTTCTCTTTCCACCGCCGAGAAAGCCTGGCAACAAGCTTCTTCTCAGCATACCCACCATGGACTTTGACATGCCAACCTGCATAAACACCCCCTCAGACTTGAGGAAATGCGAGCAGGACTCGTACAGGCCCTTTGGGCTGCCGATATTGTCTACAGCGATATCGAAGACGCACCCCTTCCTTTTGAGCTCTGTAACAACGTTGAGTCTCCGGTAGTCTATAACTTCATCCGCCCCAAGACGATTGCAAAGACCGACCTTTGCCGTGGAACAAGATGCCACTACATAGGCCCCGGCGGCCTTTGCGAATTGAATAGTAAAGGAGCCCACGCCACCGCTTCCGCCGTTGATGAAGACTTTCGACCCTGGTTTCAGTAACTCTTTCGGAAGCGACTGGAATGCCGTCAGCCCAGCTGTTCCAATCGCTGCTGCTTCGTCGGGGTTAACGCCCATCGGAAGTGTTGCATCATTGGATGAGGGAGCGGTAAGGAGTTGGCCGAGACTACCAAATTGCGGGAGTTTAGTGCCGATGCTTAGGGCCCCGAAGACGATTTGTCCCCCTAAGAATCCGTTCCAAACATGGCACAGACGGATTCGGCCGCAAAAGTCTGAGCCGGGCTCGTGTTGGACTGCATCATGAATTTGCCAAAGACCGGGATCTCAGGCAGCTTGTATTTGACGGGGTTAATCCCGCTGAGATGAATTCGATGAGAACATGATTAGGGGGGGGGGGGAGGATGCGTCTGGTGGGGTTGCTTTTTGGTTGAGAGAAAGGGAGGTTTCCAGAGTCTCTTTGATGGAGCTGTACTGCCAAGCATCCATGTTCGCTGATCGAACAGAAATGTAATGTTCAAGTTGACAGAAAGAAAAGTCGGAAACCAGACTTAGTATTCAGCAGTATGAGTTGAATGTCGTATGCAAACAATGTAGGCCAGAAATCAGCCTCAAGCGCCTGATGTCAATCCATATATCGTTGCATCCCAGCTCGGTGCGAATGCTGTTGAAGTCAAAATTCGCACTTAGTCCGTCGGATTGCAGGGGTCTTTTAAGATTATCTCGGGTTCGGATTCCTGGTCAGAAAGCTTGTCTGTAGGGGCCTCACACCCTCCGTGCTTTGACAACCATTAGATGGCATTTAGCATTAGGCATCGCTCATTATGGACAACTCGCGCAGTCAATAGTGAAGACCTTGGTCGGCTGGCTTGCGTCGGGCTCGATGCCGGTGACAACGTAAATGTGGTCGCCGAAAGCTACAGCGGCGTGTTCCTGACGGGGGCCGCCGCCCAAAGGCTTGAGTACTTCCCACGTCTCGGTAGTGGATAGGGCGCACTAAGAGCGCGCGGGGGCGACTGCTGACTGTCGACTGAGAAGCGGCAGCAGAGAAAGACAGTAGGCACGGCGATTTGTCAACATGATGAAGTAGGAAGAAGTTTCACCTGGATGGGTAGAATGTGATGTCTCGAAGTAGAGTTGCCTGGTGTGATGTCGGATGTTAAGAATGATCCAGATCTACTCTTTTGCTTTATGCACATTAGGCGCCCCCTTTTCTGGATATCAATGTCATGAAAATTCATTCTATTTCTTTTAGAGCAGAGATGGCATCGCGGAGAGTGTCAACATTGGACTCCAAGCATGACGGTCAAAAACCATCTTATTCTCGGGAAATTCGACTTGTCCGTGTGCCTGGACTCGAAGTCATGCGCAGAAAGGCACTGCTCCAGAAGTATCCCCAGGTACCTAAGCAGCATGGTGTTTCGGTTTCGGATGACACTGGTTCCTGGCAACGGAATGCTCTGTCTATATCCAGTGGCGGCAATACACGTCAGCTAATGCATCACAATTTATACGTTTCTTGGCTATTTCTGTTTACTACCTAGGTATTATACAACTATGAAACTTGTAATCATACCATGTCTTGATTGAGGCAGCCAGCGGAGCAAGAAGGACAAGGCAAGAAAAATGTTCAATTTGTTTGACTAGGTACCTTGCATGGGGCTAGCAAGACCATGGCATTGCAGGGAAAGAGAAATCAATTTGAGATAGAACGAAGAACGACCAAGAAATTGTGACATCCTCCACCTCATCCAGCACTCTCCGTTGTGATATCTTCGTTCTGGCTAGCCATCTTTGGGTCAACATAGTCTATAGGCCACCGTATCTCATCGCGCCAGTTTGGCGGAAGAGATCTAAAGATTGCCGCAATGAGATGGCGTCCCCAGTCTTTCATGAACCGAAATTGTGACCCCGCGGCATGTATAACGGTACAGTAGTGCGCAAGAACGAACAACGATGTAGGGTCCCTGACAACAAGCAAGGCCATGAAGTTGTCACGCAGAATCATGGGCAAAGACACAGCAAGGTTCAATTCGGGAGTGATAGATGACGCCCGTTCAATGCTATCCCGGAGGCCCGAGATTGCCTCTTCAATAAGGCTCTTGACCTCGAGACTCATGTTTCGCTGGTTCAATCCACGCTCGATTCGAGAGAGTTTCTCTCGCAGCAGTCCTAGCAGCTCGTTGCCGCCTACGTCTGGATGGCATTGCATGAAGTCCTTCAATATGCCCTGCCGAACATTTTCTCTAGCTGAGGTCAAGACGCCGCCGACACCACAGTTAAAGGGTAAACACCTCTAGGATATCATCAAATTCCAGCCGACGCAGGGAGCTGTGTAGCGTCGGACTCGAGGCGGCGATGGTGCCAATGAAGAGTAATGATGACGCAGCGAAGAGGGCGTCACAGTTCCCAGATGTGACGTGCAAAATCTCGGCCTGAACCCCGCGGATTGCATGATGTTGGTGCTGCAGTGCTAAAGATAGTTTCTCTTGACACTGTTGTTGTTAAGGTTGCGCGAAGGAAGACCCCGATGGCTCGAGGATTGCTTGGTGGAAGGCGGAGATTGCGAGGATCTGGTGCATGAGATAGGGAGAGTCCGCTGCCACGCCCGGAACCTTGTCACACTATGTGTGGAGGTTGGCTCCGGGTAAGGTTGCAGAGGTTACGGAGGTGAAGTGGTTCATTAAGCCGAGATCCGTCATCCAGGGGTAAGCATTTTCGGCCGCGGATCCGACGGGACAGTCTGCCCCTACAGAGGGGGGCGGTGTTGTCGATGGGTCTCCCGGTGGAGTGCCGTTGGATGAGATTGTCGACGAGTCGTCTCTCCGACTGTCTAGCCTAGAGGTGGAATAGTGTCGAGAACTTGACGGAGCGCCATGTTGGATCGTAGCTGGTGTCAGACTGCAATCTATCTGTAATCTGATGTATGCGCCACATGGTCGATTTTCATCGCACTGAAACAAAGTCAACCTTGAGTCTGCTCTTTGTGTTGATATCCCTATCACAGGGTAGTTAGTTCGAACCGTGGGTTGACGAAGAGGTCAAATTGATATGTATTGACTTCTGCGTAAGGGTGTAAAAGGGAGGTTCCAACCGGAGGTTGGGCAGGCCGCGATTCTCGTAAGTATGGGCTTGTAAGTGGCCCCTGCGCGGTTCCTTGCCCCGAGGTCGAATTGGACTTCCAATCCGACACTTTGGTAGGAAAAGGTGGAAAACAAAGTGCGAATCTCTTGCTACGAGACAGGATGGTAACCCGACGCACCTTGAACTTTCTTTGTTTACAGTTGGAACAACCGTTACGGGACTTCTTGTGTCCAATTCGTGGCATGTTGGATAGAGGCACGATACACGACTAATTGGTATGACTGCTTTCGATCCTCGACTCGATTCCGGGGAGTAAGATGTGGACTGGGGCGCCTGAATCCGAAGCCGATCAACCGCTCATACATATTTATCTATCTTTATCGTACCAAGATTGAGTTGCGGAGACTTGATTTCTAAGAGCAGCAGACTTTCTAAGCTTAGACAGTGAATGAATCAACACCCGTGACAAAAGCTTGTCAGAACTAAACTTACACGTATTCGACGCAAGGGCCACTTTTCGTTCGAACATCAGCCAAGACTCAAGCCAAGAGATTGACAACTTCAAGACAAGAGATGATATCGACAGGATAGCAAGCATAGCCTCAATAATGTTTACGAAGTATCTGCGGAAAGAAGTGTCAATCTTGACATCTTGTCGAGAGACTCAAGGGGCCAAGGTGGAAGGGGCTTGTTTCTACGCCATATTTATATGACCACGAGATGGAACAACATGCCGACATGAAGTTTCCGCCACTTGTCCAGAACTCTAGGAAACTACCTTTCATTGCAATGATTTCAGCTTTTAGTCGAAGACACCATAGGAAGAGTGCTTTATTGCGCACAAAACTTAACTCAGCACTTCATCATTCCCATCATCCAGAACCATAGACTCACCAACAGAAAAGAACCCAGGAGAATTCCATTTTTTACCACTACTACCCTTCTCTCCTGATACCATGCATCTTCATGGCCCTCTTTGGCATCTCATCCGCGCTGCATCTTTTCCAGATGATCAAGCTACGTACCTGGTACTTTGTTCCATTCCTGATCGGCTGCTGTTGTAGGTGACACCTATTGTCAACGCTGACTTATCGGCGTTTACTCTTCTTCAAGTTCCTTTTTCTTGCACTTACTGATTTGCGAATGGAACAGTTGAAATTATCGGGTACATAGGCCGTGCCTTATCAGCAACGGAAACCCCGAAGTGGTCGACAACATCATACAAAATCCAGAGTCTGACGCTTCTCCTCGGGCCTGCGCTGCTTGCTGCGTCTATCTACATGGTTCTCGGCCGTCTCATCCGCTTCCTCAAAGCTGAATATTTGGCTCTGATAGGAACGAAGTGGTTGACTAAGCTCTTTGTCCTTGGAGACGTGATCTCTTTTGTGACGCAAGGCGTAGGTTCGTTCACCCTTTCCCGTCTCTTTTTAGTACCTGGAATCGAGAGACTCTAGATCCGTGGGCAATCAGGGTTAAACTCGCTTTGAACAGGCGGCGCAATCCTCTCCCGAGCAAAATCCCTATTCGATGTTGAGCTCGGGGAAAACATCATCATCGCCGGGCTCACCGTCCAAATCCTCTTTTTTGGGGGCTTCATCATCGTCACCTGTCTCTTCCACTATTGTGTCAACAAGAATCCTACCGATCCCTGCAACTCTGCCTCCCTACGCTGAAGACCGTTCTTCTGGATCTTATACTGTGCGAGTTTGCTCATTATGATCCGGTCGGTCTTTAGAGTTGCAGATTACGAAACCGGCAGCAACGGGGCACTGATGGTCAGCGAGGTGTATATCTACGTCTTCGACGCGGCACTCATGTTCCTTGTTGCTGCCGTGCTCAATATGTTTCATCCCGGCACTATTGTTCAGATGGAGAACAGGTTGACGGCTATTTCGGAGAGCAGCGTGCCTCTTGATTTGCAGACTTTCACTTAGGTGGAATTGGTCGGTCGCGTCTCACGTTGAGCTTCGGCCAAAGGAGGAAACTCCGGAAACTCTGGTGCATAATGCAGTTGGGAATGGGAGATTTTTAGGAATATCGAAAGGTCCCCAGAGAATGTTCAGAATCTTTGCACTTGAGTTGGCTTTGGAACTCCATGGACGTTGATCAGTATTGTTTACCTGAGCTTTTTGTTATCCTTTTGCTATCTTCTAGTATCGGAAGTCTGCTTTTGCTACCTGCCGCAGTCTCGCTGGCCTGTGAGGTCAGCGGATGTCGCTTCAATTTTATGGCTCAGCACAGCAGGGGTCGCCCATCCCATCATGTTCCAAATTCGATCAAAGCAGATTCATTCAGTCTCAGAGCCAGGTCTATGAGGATTGCAATTCTCTCACAGGGAAATGATCCATCGATTGACCACGCGTGAGCCTGACGCCATCTTCGAGCCCGTCTATTCCCGATGTCATCGTCTGCTGACGAGAAAGGCTTTTAAGGGGAGCATCACTGTACGAGCGCCAATTAGTCCCCTTCAGGCAGGTGAACCGTCAGCCTACAGCGCCGAGACGAATGTTTGGGGAGCGTTAAGACCGGCTGTTCCCGACTTGCCAGGGGGTCGTTCCGGTCTTACAATTTCGAAATGACCCTGCTGCGAATCCTTCGCCAAAAGGGGACTTTTGTCGGGTTGTCGCGGTATCGCGGCGCTCATCTTCACGCGCGTCATCTTACTGTCGAATACAGTGAAGCATCGAGGAGACAGTAACGTCGAAGCCAACTGAGAGCTTGATAAGAGTTCCGAGCGAACGACGATTCAGCTAGTTGAGCCTGCGATGGCATCTCCGACGTTGACACTATCCGAAATGGCCATGGAGCTTGGATGGGATAAGCAACAGGTCGTCGACAACGACGCATTCGCCTGTTCCGTTGGTTCACCTTGGAACTCCACGCTATGTCATCAAGGCTTCGACCTCGATCCTAGCTTGGAAGAAGTCCTCTTCTCTGTTGCACCTTGCTCAATCGCCTTGATCTGGGGACTCCATCGCCATCGGCAGCTTCAGACTAGACCAGTAGTCTCTCACGGACATCTTCGCCCGGTCGCTAACTTGATCAGCCTCATCGCGCTCAGCTTCCTCCTACTATTTATCGCACCTACTTCAATCGCCATCGCACCCATTGCTATTGTTTTGATCTCTGGCATCGCCATATATGCTGGGCGACGGAGCGGCGCGTGGACGGACCAGGGGTCGGGTCTTCTTACCCTCAAACAAGTAAGTTCAGACAGATACGACCTGGTAGACTTACGAGGCTAATGTGCGCACACAGGTCCTCTGGCAGGCCCTCACGGCATTCCAAATCGTGTCACTTATGAGAGTTGCTCTTGAAACAGAGACTCAGAGTCAATCTGGTATCAATCTTGCTTCATGGATCTTGTCAGTTACGACGAGTGTTCTCTTAACACTGGTATCAGAGCGAGAGCACAGCAGATCCTTAGCTCCGTCAGCCCTCCTCCAACTCTTCCTCCTCACCACCATGTTCCTCGACACAGCTCGCGTGAGAACGGCGTGGCTTCTATCACCGCAAGACAACGGCGAGGCTTACAAGGCCCTGCTCTTGACAGTTCAGGTCATCCTCAAAGTACTTCTACTCGCAGCCGAATCCGTGTCCAAACCCGCTGTTATTGCGATCCCGGCTCGACGGGTCTCTCGAGAGGAGACATCAGGTATCTTTGGCAAGAGCTTCGGGACCTGGGTCAACCCGCTGCTACGCCTAGGGTGGAAGAAGAATCTTGTAGCAGAAGATCTTGATCCTCTTGACGAAGCCCTCGATGGAGAAGCAGTGCTTGGGCGGCTTTCCGCGGCGTGGAAGAACGGTCCGTAACTTTCCCCACATGACATGCCCCTGAAGATTATGGTACCTCTTGAGCGACGCTTGATGCTAAGTGGTGATTTCTACAGTCAACCAGCATAAGAATCACGCCCTAGTCATTGCGGTCTTAAAGGCCTTCCAGGCCGAGCTCTTCTTCATCCACATCCCACGCGTCGGCATGGTGGCCTTTGGTCTAATACAGCCCCTCCTCGTGCAAACCACAATCGAGTACATCCAAAACCACAATGAGGAGCCCATCAGCTACGGCCAGGCTCTCGTTGCCGCATTCGCCATCACATATCTTGGGCTAGCCGTACGTTTCGCTCCCACGATTTTGAACCTTGGAAAAGCCTCTAGAACTTATGACTAACCACTATGTCTCCATGCATCCAGATCTCCACCAGATGGTCCGGTCAACTCACCCACCGCCTCATCACCCGCATCCGAGGCGCCCTGATTGGTATTATCTATCAAAGCATGCTCACACTCCGCGCGGAGACTGGTAACTCTCAGGCGGCGGTCGCGCTGATGAGCACTGAGGTCGAGCGCATCACTGTAGCTGCTCAGTGGTGTGTCGCTATCATCCCTAATCTTATCCAGTTGGGGTTCGCCATGTGGATTATGAGCGAGCAGCTTGGGGCTGTCAGCGTTGCTCCGATCATTATTGCGCTTCGTAAGTCAATAATCCGGCAATAGATTCACCTCTTGGAACTTGTATTGATCTAATGAAATTGATAGTCAGTGTGTCTGCCGGCATGAGAACGGGCCAGTTGATTCCGCCACGCCAGCGGAGGTGGATGCAGGCGATTCAGAAGCGAGTTGGCATCACCACCGAAATTATCGGCTCGGTCAAGGGCGTCAAGATGAGCGGTCTGACTAGCACAGTCCAGGACCAGGTTCAAGGTCTTCGAGACTTTGAGCTCGACGAGTCCAAAAAGTTCAGGAGAGTACAGATTCTCAATGTGCTCATAGGTAAGTTGGACAAGCTATGCCTTCTTGATTGCGCGATGTCTAACAGTACCCAGGACAATTCCCATCGATCATGACTCCGTCCATCACCTTCGCCGCTTTCGGTATCATCTCAAAATTATCTGGCGGCCAGCCGCTCAATGTGGTTCAGGCTTTTACATCCCTCAGTCTGCTCGGCATCCTGATCAACCCCGTCTCCGAGCTCGTCATGATCCCAAATAACCTCGGAGCCGCGATCGGTTGCCTTGACAGGATCCAAGAATACCTCGTCAAAGAGAAGCGGGAAGATTACCGCCTTGTAAAATCAAAGACATCTCCGGACCCCGCCGTGCAGGGAAGCGATGGAATCCGCGAGCCGCTGTAAAGTGACAGCCAGCCCCGACCGCTGATCAAAGTCCCGGACGGTTCCTTCGGCTGGCACAAAGACCAAGCCATTCTCAAGTCCCTGGACCTCGAGATCCACCCAGGGAGCCTTACAATCCTCATCGGACCCGTCGGCTCCGGGAAATCTACCCTGCTCAAGTCCCTCGTGGGGGAGACCTACCGCATCTCGGGGTCGGTAGAGTACACAAGCTCAACAGACGTGGCATACTGTGACCAGGACCCCTGGATCCTGAACCAAAGCATCAAGGAAAACATCATTGGTGGCGTGGCTACGCAAGAGACGTCCGACTTTTATGACAAGGTTATCCAGGCCTGTCAATTAGACGAAGATCTCAATCTCCTCCCGCAAGGCGACGAGAGTATAGTCGGAAGCTCGGGTTCGGCTCTTAGTGGTGGTCAGAAGCACCGGATTGTACGTAACCCCGCGCATTTCTCCTGAACTCCCGTACCTAGATGAGTGTGGAATCTGGTATTGACGATCTCACAGGCCCTTGCTAGAGCCGTCTATAGCGGAAAGCAAATCATCATGATGGACGACAATCTGAAAGGTCTCGACTCTAAGACGGCTTCGAAATGCTTCCATGCGCTGTTTGGGACCGATGGACTCTTGCGTGGGCAAGGGAGAGCCGTCGTCTTTGCGACGCACAATGGTAAGAATTGTTTAGGCTTGCTCCGTTTCCTCTTTCTATACCATCTCTCATCCACCTTGCTTGATCCCAAATACGGCTAACGTGGATATTCAGCCCAATGGCTTCGGTCCGCGGACAATATCATTTCCCTAGGCGGCGACGGAACCCTCTCAGAGACAGGCTTGTACAAAGACCTCTGCAAGACTGGAGGCTACGTCAGCACTTTGAAAATTACTCACAAGAACGACCACCAAGATAATGACACAGCGGAAGTAGAAGAGACTCAGAGGAGTGCCGACAAGAAGGACAAGGCTGCCACAATCCAGAAGCCAGATGACTTGGTCAAGGCTAAAACCCGCGGCGCTGCGAACACGAGTTCCCTGCTGTACTACATCAAGTCAATGGGTATTACACCCTTTGGGCTTTTTTTCGCCATGGCCATCTTTCAGACTATCTGCAGAATCATGCAACGTAAGATATTCCTGTGCTTGCCTCCTACCTTCTATAATTATCGCTCAGCTACCAGTCCGGTGTCGGGTCTTACTCAAGGTATCTATACTAACCTATCCATAGGCCTCTGGGTCAAGTTTTGGGTCGCTGCCAATGAGGATGGAGGACAAGAGAATCTGGGAATGTGGGTGGGCGTCTACATCCTTTGGGGTGTCTTGACGGAGTTGGCGCTTGCCGTCGAATGCTAGTGAGTCCTATATTCCTCGAATTCCTTCTTCGCTTGAATGAGGGCAGGAATTGGGTTATTGACAGACTTACCTTTCCGCCTTCAAGCTACTTCCTCGTTGTAATTGTTCCTCACTCGGCCAAGGGGCTTCACTTCAGCGTCCTCAAATCCGCTCTCTCGTAAGACTTCACTCAGACTTCTTCTACACCCTGGTTGAGATATCTGACATTTGACATCATCCTAGCGCGCCCCTGTCTTTCTTCGTTAAGACAGATACAGGTATCATCATCAACCGGTAAGCCCGATCCGTCGTCACCAACGACGTTTAGACCCTCGGCTGACCGTTTTATTCCATCCAGCTTCAGTCAGGACATGAACCTCGTCGACTTGCCCCTACCCCTTGCCTTCATGCTAACCTTCGACAGTAAGCCCCTCTCCACCCTCAATTCTCGCATCTCCTCGAACCAACTCACTGACACCATGAACAGACCTCACCCTCGCAATAGCAGACATAACCCTAACAACCCTCGCCACACCCACCCTATCCCTCTCCATCCCCTTTCTCATCCTCCTCCTCTACCTCCTCCAACGAATCTACCTCCAAACATCCCGCCAAATTCGCCTCCTTGACCTCGAGACAAAATCACCTCTCTTCTCCCACTTCATCGCCTCCGCCACCGGCCTAGTCACCATCCGCGCTCTCGGGCCAAGATGGACATCTCGCGTGCAAGCCCAGAACCTCCAACGGCTAGATCTCTCCCAGAGGGCGTTTTACGCCATGGGGAGTTTGCAGAAGTGGCTTCTACTAGTACTGAACCTTGTTGTGGCTGCGCTGGCGGTGTTGCTTGTGGCATCTGCTGTCATCTTGAGGGACCGAGTCGACGCGGGGTTGCTTGGTGTGGCGCTCGTGAGTGTCATGACGTTCGGGCAGTTGCTGACGCAGTTGTTGAATTATTGGGCGCAGTTGGAAACTAGCCTAGGGGCTGTGGCGAGGATTAGGGAGTTTGAGGCGGAGACACCTTCGGAGGAGAAAGAAGACAACGATGAAGATCCCGCCGTGAAGGGGAAGTGGCCTTCCAAGGGACAGATTGTTATCGGGAACGTCTCGGCCGCGTATGATGATCATCAGGTTCTCAGTGCCGTCAATCTCTCCATCAAGCCTGGAGAGAAGGTGGCCATCTGCGGACGAACGGGAAGTGGCAAGTCGACGCTTCTTGCGCTTCTTCTGCGACTGCATGAGCTGTCTGCTGGTGTGATTGAGATAGATGGCTTGAATATTCGCAGTGTACCCGTCACGCGGCTGCGTGAATCGCTTGTCGCTCTGCCACAGGATCCGCTCTTCCTGCCTGGAACCGTCCGTCGAAACCTCGACCCTTTTGAGTCTTGCAAAGGTGATGCCGACATCTGGGAAGCGTTGGAGAAGACTGGACTGAAGGCTCTATTCGAAGATAAGGGCGGTATTGAGGCTGATCTCAACACTGACTGGTTGAGCGCGGGACAGAAGCAGCTGTTCTGCATGGCGAGGGCCATCTTGAGAGATAGTCGTGTCTTGCTGCTTGATGAGGCGACAAGCAGGTAAGTTTCCTCCCTAATTGACTCCACATCTCGTTCAAGAACTATAGGTATGCTAACGGTTCCTAAAAGTCTGGATCAAGCCACGGAACGGGTCGTGCAAGACCTCATCGGTAGCGAGTTCCAAGGCTGGACAGTCATCGTCATTGCTCATCGGCTACGGGCTATCCTGGACTTTGACAAGGTTGTGACGCTCCAGGACGGGAAGGTCGTGGAGTTTGATAGTCCCAAGAAGCTGCTTGAGAATGGCGGCATCTTTGCCGCTATGTGGAAGCTACAAGAAGGTTGAGTGATTCCTGTCCCCCGTCGGATATCGTTTCCTGTGCGTTGCTGGCGTGCAAAACCGGTTGCGGTGACGGAGCCAAGCCTCTCCTTTCATCTACTAGTTCGTCATCATAGAAGGGGGTAGGAACATGTACTGCTATTTAGATTGAACCTATTCTTTCGCCGTAGATGAGTAAGGGCTCTCATTACTAGAACATAAATACTTATTTTCGTGTGTATCATCAACATCTTGCTATCGAAACCTCTGTGCCCAAGACGCAGCCATCAGACTCTGGGCAACGGTACCTGCTCCCCTTATTTGCTCTTCATCTTCTCCGCAGCCTCCTTCGCAAGAGCGCTCACCTCCTTGTCAGAACTCGACTGCGATACCGCTGCGAAGCCATCAGTCCAGGATTGCCATCTTTCCTCACTCAGTCCCTTCCACTCGCGGTCTGCAAATTTGCTCCCCGGCTTGCCCGACTTGCCCTCAAAGTCCCGGTTCTTGGTGCTGAGCTTGTACAGCGCGTCCTTGGCGTGAACAGTCCACTGATAGGCCAGTCTGGTGGCAGTGGTCTGGCCTTCGGCGGCGTCTGCAGCCTGCTCCTCCTCAAAGGCGGAGCGCAGGGCCCAGAGGCCATAGAGGGAGAAATCAAAGGGGTCCTGGGGGTTGGTGAGGTCGGCGCGGGCAGTGAGCTGGGCGGCGAAGGCGGAGAGATTTGTCCAACTGGCCTTTTCCTCTGCTGATGCGGATGTGTCAAAGGCGTCTGGATGCGTTAGCTGGGGGTTGTTCTCGTGGACAAGACAGCGGTATTTAGATGGCATATCAGCCTGTTGAGTGAGATGGGTGTATTCACCAAAGTTCCACAGATCGCGGGCAACCCATCCAAAGGTGGGAAGATCCTTCCAGACAACCTGACTGTTCAGCTTTAGAGGCTGGCCATCCGATGCTGTGACGGTGGTCTCGCGCAGGCGTTGCAAGAAATCAATGAGCGGGGTCTGGTTCTCTGGAGAGGTCTGCTTGGCGACGGCGAAAATGGCGTTGTATGTGTCCCACAGGAAATCCTCAATCTGTGACTCGGACTTCTTTGCCAAGTCTCTGAACTCGCTTACAGTGTCGTCAAGTGCCTTCTTGTCGTCGGCCTTTATGAAGGATGTGAGGGACTTGTAAGCGGGCAACGCCGCGATGGCATCGTTGACGCTCATTTTAAGGGTATCGTTCTCTGGTGAAAAGTTGCTTATTTTTGGTATATGTGAGAATGAACAAGAAAGAGCACAAAGCAATGCCTTTCCGCAAGAGTTCGAGAGAGAGGAGGGGTTGCAATGTTGACAGGTTGGCAGAAGATGTGGCGGTGGTGGAGGTGCTAGTGTTGATAGCTGTTTTATGGCGATGTCACAACGGGAAGGTGGAAAGCCTGGACGAGGCCAATCTCGGCCCACGTGGAGGCGACGCAGCTTCACTGACGTCGTCAGCGGGCGGTTGCGGTACGTACTCGCAGTCGTACCTGCCAGAACCTGTGAGTAATAAGGAAGGTAGCCCCACTCCCGGCTGCCACGTTGCACCGTGCACGGAGAGGAGAACTGGAGGCAGGAGCCGGCCGGGCAGCCACGGAAGGCACGGCGGACAGGGACAAGAAGAGACACGCAAGCCATGCACTCTATCCCCAAGAGTCTGAATGCATGTGGCTGTGTCTGGGAAATGTTTATTTGACCGTTGAAAGTGTGGCACATCCAGCTGAAATATGTGCATTTATTTCCATTGGATCTAACTGCATCTCGTCTCGGTTGATCGGCTCCTCCCGCCTCAAGCCCAGGACCTGGCGCTGCAAAGAACCCAAACCACCCAGCCGTGCCAGCCAATCGCCCCCAAATATGTGGAGACGGCGGCCTCTGGGAAACAGGCACGAGATTAAGCTTATGTTTTTCGTCAAGCTTTGATTGGTGCCAACTTTGATTTCACGTGACTTTCCACGCCGTTCCTTCCTGCCTTTGGACCCGGCTCACCTGAAGACGCGCTGGAAACGCCTAAAGACCAATAAAGTTTTGAGCTGTTTGGGAGCGTTTGGAAGTTGGGGGAACCGCCCAGCCTGGCCCCCGGCAGGAAGGGACGATGTGAGCTGAAAACGACTGGATTTAATTTGCATTTTCCACACTTGGCACACGGGATTCCCAAGCCGGCCAAGTTTCTCGGCAGCTTTGTTGTCTTTTCTTCACTCGCCTTATTCTTTGACCCAACCTAATAAAGCATTCGCAACTTTTTCATCGCGGGCAGACCCATCTTCTCTTTGATCATAACCATCACAACAGCATCGCTCATACCGCGTGTCAAAGGACGTTCTAGATTCGCATAAACACCACAGCACCCAACGTCCACGATCCTCTTATCATCCATCCATCTCCAGCCAACCCACATTCAACCAGACGACGCCATTCAAAATGGTCTCCTTCAAATCCGCCCTCACATTCGCCCTCTGCGCTGTCTCAGTCGTCGCAAATCCCATCCCCAACCCCGAGCCCGAACAGGCCCTCGAGAAGCGCCAGGGCACAACCGACGTCGGCACAGTCACCTGTGGCAGCAACAAATACTCCAAGAGACAAATCCAGGATGCCACTGCCGAAGGCTGCCGTCTCTACGCCGCGAACCAGCAGATCGGTACCAGCCAGTACCCCCACCGCTTCAACAACCGCGAGAGCCTCGTCTTCGCCACATCGGGCCCCTACCAGGAGTTCCCCATCGTAACTTCTGGAAACTACAGCGGACGTAAGTCGCATTCGAATCCCCTTACATCTCATCATTTCCCAAGAACAGGTCTCTTGGCATTTCAACTGTCACCTTCGCCGCTCTTGGCACGTCATCAAACATGAGAAGACGCACTGACATTGTTACACCATGCAGGGGCGCCCGGAGCCGACCGTGTCGTCTTCGACCCGGCGTACCGGGGCAGCTGTGTCTACGTCGGCGCCATGACCCACACCGGCGCTGCATCGCGCAACGGCTTCGTATCCTGCAACCAGACAAGGTCGTCGTCATCTTCTGGAAGTGGTACATCTGCTGCATCGAGCTACAAGGGATCCAGCTCGATTGGGGCTGTTGTGTCTATCCTTTCGCTCCTGGCACTCACTGTCTAAACCCGGATTTGGCAAGCAACGCAAAGAAGCAAACTCCGAGTGAGGGGCAATGTGAGCAAGGGCACATGCTGACGCCGCTGGCCGAGGGGAAGGGGAACGACCCAACTCTCGACGTATAGACTGTGGTCTGGCCCTCGTCGGGCCTCGTCCCCGGATGACAGAGAGTTCAAGGAAAAGCAACAGAAACGAGGCTGTCTGGGCCTGATGTTTATGGGATTTGGAGATCGCCTTTTTTCGAACAGTATGGACGCAAGGGGCTAGAGCTGGGGATTGAGTTCAGAGTTTGGCCGACCCCAGTATTTTTCCCGACCAACTGAGTTGTTGCCGCACTGAGGAGGCAGGGGAGCCCCCTTCATCGCAATCTTATGCGAGAGCGAACTGGAACGGGAAACCTTTATCAGATGGCTAGCCTTCCCCCTCGATGGTGTGGCTTGACAGGCACGAGAGAATTTTGGAGAGGGGTTCCTCAGTACCCTTGGGTTGGCTTTGACGCAAACCAGTTGAGCCTTCACTAATCACTAGCCAATAATGAACGTTCTTTGGCGCGAATTGCGCCCGAAATTCAGTCTTTGATATTACACACATCTCAGGTCAAGCATTGACGAGCGTACATGAACATTCACTTCGTCTCCGACGCTGATGGCAGAAACGCACACAGCATCCCACATCCAATCAAGACCCCTGTCCGCGTCCTGCTCAATGACCCCACCGATTTCAAGATGACGGCTGCCTGCTCATCTCAGCCCAAAATCTCACTCAAGTGCCATCGTCGTCTTTCACTCTCAATCTCAGTCTCGTAAATTCACATCTCATTGACTGAGGATCAAAGCATGGGATTTCATGAGTCACTTTGAACCAACAATGATCATCTGTAAATTCTGTCAAGCTACGGTCCTTGAGTCTGGGAAGAACTGGGACTATCACCACCAGGACTCAGACTCATTTGAGGACTCACTTCACTCTCGGTGTGTCTTTTGCACGAGGCTGGCTGAAGGCCTCGATAAGATCAGCCCTTGGTTTGATCATGACCTCAATGTCAAAGCTCTCTATCGTTGGAATATCCGGCAGGCTGCTCAGATCCGTGAGACGAAGAGCCACGTCTCCATCACATTCCGACCTGTCCCCAGCCGCACTTGTGGGAAGCTGAAGAGCGACGACCTACCAGAAGTCACGTTTTATCTCTTCCCCGAAGAAGGTTAGTCATTCCGATGATGTTTTTACCCCCGAAGCAAAAGTTCATAGAAATACTCATTCCCCTGTAGACCTGGGCGACATTCCCGAACATCACGACCTAGGAAATCGAACTGACTCAGAAGCATCAAGAGCGCAAATGATAAACTGGATGCAAGACTGTATCACCAACCACCCAAAATGCATCCGAAGCCACAGCATCAAATCCTTCGTTCCCACCCGCGTCCTCGACGTCGGTCCCCCAGATACCAACACCGGCGACGCGACGGAAACCCCATCCTCTCACATCCGCGTAGTCGACACCACAAAAGAACACATCACCGGCCCTTACATGACCCTCTCCCACTGCTGGGGTACCGGTAGCTTCATCCGCCTCACTGAAACCAACGTCAACGAATATACCACCAATGGCATCCCCTGGACAGAACTCCAAGCCAGCAACGCCAACTTTGCTGACGCAGTACGCGTCGTTCGCACGCTTGGGATGCGGTATATCTGGATCGATTCGCTGTGTATCATCCAGGGCCAGGAGCATTTGCAGGACTGGAGTCATGAGGCGCCGCTTATGCATAAAGTCTACCGCAATTCGTGGTGTAACATCGCGGCGGCGGACTCAAGAGACCACACGTGCGGGTTATTCCGGGAGAGAGCGGCGGAGGTGGTACCTGTGAGGTACGAGAGCGAGCAGCCTTCTGTGACGTTTGGTGATAAGGGATGGAGGATTTTCCCCGCGGACCTATGGGATCGGGACTTATTGGGGAGTCACCTTTACACTCGCGGCTGGGTGTTCCAAGGTCAGTATCTCAGCACCCTATCCTAGCCCTCGCCATCCTTTCCAGCTGGTGTAATAACATCGAAAACCAGAACGAATGCTCTCACCCCGCCTCCTCCAATTCACAAATACCCAACTCTTCTGGGACTGCGCAACGATCACTGCCACCGAATCAGTCCCTGCCGGCCTCCCATCGCCCCTTGACACCAAATCCGCTACCGACAGACACTGGCGCGAACGTCTGCAATCCTCGGCTCTCTCCGTACGGGGCACAGGCGAGGACTCGCTCGAAGAGTTTTGGAAGAGCGCCGTGGCGGCGTACACGAGCTGCAATCTCACATTTGCAAAGGATAAACTTGCAGCGCTGTGGGGTATCGCGAAATTACTGAGGGATGCGCTGGGCGAGGAGTATGCTGCGGGATTGTGGGGGATCAATCTCGCTGAGCAACTTGCTTGGAGGGTCTTTGATCGTAGTAAATCAAAGCTTTATGGTGAGGATGAGAAGGTCGTTGTCCGTGGTGGCAAGGAAATTGGGAATCCGAGTTGGTCGTGGACTTCATTGAAGGGGAGGATTGAGGTTGCGCCGAGGGTTCCTAGGCTGGATAGATTCTACACTGCGTGCGATCATGGGGGTGGGAACGCAAAGTTTCAGGTCAAGAAGCCTCTTTTTGGGCGGTTTGAAGGGGAGCATTCGACCGTGTGGCGGGATGAGGTTGTGAACATGACGAGGAAGCTGAACCGGGTTTCGGAGAGAGTGTTGGAGAAGGCTCGGATGAGTGTTACTACGATTACTCCCATCGTTGAGGATATCGCAGAGGAAGAAGTCGAAAAGGACGGGACGCCAAAGACGGCATCGCAAGGCGCAGTCACGCAGGCGGAAACGAAGAGGGAGTTCGCCATGGACAAGCCCACAGAGCTCCTCTCCACATCCCTCCGTCTCCAAGCCCACATTTGCCGCGGCACGCTCGAGGCATCCGAAGACAGCCACTGGACTTTCACATTCCCGGATCTAAACCAGAGTGACGCGCTCATCGAAGCCTATCCCGATGTCCAACCTCTGCAGGACACCGCACCGTGCGAGATGCTCTTGCTTGCTGCGACAAAGGAGATGAAGAATGTCTGGGGTTGGCCGGTGTATGATAATGGGTATCTTGAAGACGAGGATATTGCTGACGTGCGTTATTCCGGGACGGGAATTCTTGTGGAGAGAGTTGGTGAAAGGCGGTACAAGAGAATTGGCGCTGTTGTGTTTCGGCAGGTTGAAAGGGAGAGTTGGGCTTGTTTTCGGCGGGGTTGTGGGAATGGTGATGAGATGCTTGAAGATGAGCTTCAAGTTGAGGACGGGGAGAAGATTTGGCTTGAGTGAGAGTCTAGGTGCTGGTCCACTGAGAGACTTGGGATTAACGATAACTGCCTTCAGAGGCTGTGGTACACTGCGACAAGCGTCTTTGGCTTTGGTATGCATAAGGTAGTGAAATAGTGTAGCCTAATGGTATTTTACTTCACATCTTGGATACCGACTCAGTAGGTATCGTCATGTCATCATCATGTACACCCGACTTTAATCGCTTTCCTCGCTGGGCACGAAGCCAGATACGACCGCTATCCAAACGCTGCAATAAACGCTGACCGAAATATTGAGAAGTCAATATCCAACTCTGTCAATATCTCCCTTTCCCCTCAGTTGGGCTTGGTAGGAACGGGGCCGGGACCGACGCCCGCACAGCCAGTGTAACCGGCAACAGCTTTAGAAGTGCTACATGGATTTGTTAGTAAGTGCTATTTGCGCTTTGAACGACTCCCATAAACTTACCAATCCAGAATACAGCCCTTATCCTTGCCGCCTTTGCCCTTGTCGCCCTTGTCTCCGAGGCCCTGATCGGCTCTCCTCATCAAGACGCTCTTGGCGGCGCCGCATGCGTCTATACACTTGACGTGATCCGCAGCAGTTTGTGTCTCACAAGCTGCGATGGCTCCTCCTTCTTTCTTTCCTTTGCCCTTGTCGCCGTCGGCTTGAAGGTCGGCTGGTGCTGGTGCGGCAACGGCGAGTGTGGCGGCGAGGAGAGTGAATGCTGTTGAGAAACGCATGTTGAAAGTTGTGTGAGGTTATCAGAGTCTTGCACCAGGTTACTTTTGACACGAGGCTGATTGGATAGATGTTACTCGAAGTTGAAAGATCTTCACAAGTCTGTGGTTGCGTGAAGTTGATCTGTTTGCAATTTTTTGGGGTTGAACTAGATGTTGCGGTTCAAGCTATTGTGGGTATGATAGATAGGGCCTATGTTTTAGATCAGTTCTGTTGTGGAGGGAATTTTCCCTGGCCTTATAAAGACTTTGGTTTTCACAGAAACTCCTTTCTATTAACTCTTTGATTCTGCGAATACGATCCCATCAGACCATGTCACGATGGACATTACCTCAGAGTTCAATCAACACTCAACGGCCCACATGCATCTTGAAGCCTATTTCGATCAGTACCTGGAACGTCAGTGGATGACGTCCATTCATGCTCTCGCATTAAGCATCCGTTTTAGGCCATGGGGCACAAAAAATAGACTTTCAAGGGCCCGTTGGCCGTTGTGGATTTATTAGAAAAAGCAGGGATGATCTTTACGGTCTTTACCCATATAACATCGGACGACCGAATAATCCGAATACGCAAGGGAGCAGCCGCCAGGCCAGGAAACCAACGCTTTTTAGTGGTGGCCTTGAGTGAGTTGGGTATAAGTGACGTGTCTGTGTGCCTTACTTCGGATGAGATGCCGAATAGTTGATATGGAAACTGGGATGATACTGTGAATAGTATGGAAGTCTGATCGGGGTTCCACCTGGTTGGGAAGGAACCTCGGAGGAATTCACAGGCCTCGGGACCAACACGTGAAGGCTGTTGTTCAGAACTATGAATTGCATCATTTAGATTGTCGGCTGAAATATCTTGTTCCTTGGAAGATTCGAGCATCATCGCGTCAGGAGATCATGTGCGATTGGATTGATGGTTGATGGTTGAGTGTCTTCCCATCCCTGACAAGACGCCAGGGGAGCCTCTTCCATCGGCTGGTCTAGAGCCTCATCATATCGAACGTGATTGAACCTCGTCATTGTCGATCGATGTTCCCAGGTACCTAGGAGATTCGTCATAGCCAGGCGAGCGGCTGCTCGGATGGCCAGCCTAGTCTAAAGAGCCAGGTACCTGCATGCCGAGGAGCAGCCAGATTGAGAAGCCACCTCGTTGTCCTATCGCAGCCTCACTATAAGCAAACGCTGGAATCGGTAATTCTCGGTTTTCGTCAATTCATCGGACATCCGTAGGCGAGCCATCTGCTTCACGGCTTTCATCGCGCGTTGCTCTTTTAGGCTTTGCGATCCCCTCTCCGTTCATGCAGACACGAACTTCATGATAACCCAGTAGCCTCAAGATTTGAACGCTCTTCAATTACGCGCACAGGACATCGGGTCATTTCCCCACTCCAGATGAGGAGTGCCTTTGGTGGTCGAATGACGCATTTCTACCCTCCAAGTCGGCAATTATGTTCACGCTGGCCGAGTCAAGTGGGATTATTGAAATCTCTTGGGGGGTTGACGGCATACTTTTGAGACTGAATGCGCCATCGTTATCATTGGGTCAATCCCAAGGTAAGCCAGGCGAGAATAACATATACATGCTAAGCTTCAAGCGCGTAAATTACCCTGAGCCGTGTTTCATTTTTCCAGCCTAGTTTTCTCAAATCTTCAATGTTGCGTAGCAAAGATGCAGCTTTTTGTTTCACGCATCTTGCTCACCAACTCGTAGCTAGGTCTCTACTTGAGTCCGAAAGGAATATAACCCTACATGCTGAGGAATCAAGGCCAAGATATTCTGCCACTGAAGCCTCGAGCCTTTGAAAAGGGTTTGATGCATTTCACTTTTCGAAGTCGCCAGGCTATGAAGCTGCTTACTTGGAGACCTTCTTGATGCAAAAGTTGACTGCTGTTTCTAAGACTCTTCTTGCGATTGCGACTGATTCCTAGTCACGTTGTTTCGAGACTGATGTTGAGGTTTGACCTTGGGCTTCTGGCTCATACTAACTCCGTGCGTAGAATTGGTTGATGCAGTTAGCCTATTGTCAAATGCAAGACTTCCAGTAATCTGCTTGGATATAGTAGAATCTGTTGTCAACGGTGCATGCTAAGGAGAAAACAAGATGCACATCCACATAACTTAGTTATGCCCGCGGCCCCCAAGGTGATGCCCCTGCTTTTAACCACTGACCACTCAATCATGCACGTGAAGCTGAGTTTACTTGGCATTCGACTATTGAAATACAATACGACGAACTGCAGGATCACGCGGACTGATCGCGGCTTTCCTCTCAACCGATGCCCGTTCTCTTGGCCCTGTCGATCACCGCGTTGAGCAACCGCTTGAACCTGATGATCAGCTGGTTTTCCCGCCTTGGATGCGGGGTTGTTGTGGAGGATCCCATCGATAACCACCGTTACCTTGAATGTGATGAAGAAGCTGGGGAAGAAGGCTATTTTCGGCTCCGGGATCCCCACAGTGGTCGTTTGGTCGGAAGACTAACCGAATTCAACCTGTCGAATGTGACGCTGCATGGCCTGGGGATTCTGCTCATTCGCTTCACACTGACCCGAACCAGTCTTCCTACATGCGCAACAACCAGAGGAAATCCCCATGGCTGGGCAACTACGTAATGTGTTCTGACAAGTGAATTGCCAAGACATTGGCATTGGGCATTGAGCATGTATACAAGCATCGCAAATGCCGCGCAACTCGAGTGAGATGCTCGACCAACTTCAAGTTCAAACCAAGTCTTCATCCTCTGTCAAGCAGCTCTGTTGAGACGAAGAGTCGCGATGCGTGCCTCACCACTTGCTTTGGCCGCTGCCCTCACCGTGGGCGGCGTAAATGCTGCCCTGAGCGTTGTTCCAGGGGCAACATGGACTGCCGTAAGTGGACCCCAGTCAACTGAACAAGCTTATTCTGACTCGCCTATCCACAGACGAATACTGGAGAGCACGTCCAAGCTCATGGCGCAGGTATCATGTAAGTTGAACTCAGTCTTTGCACTTGTTGAAATGTGGTAATGATTTGAGAGCATGAGACACCTAACGTTGGCTACTTAGTGAGGAAAATGGGGTATACTACATGATCGGCGAGGAGAAGACCGACGGTGCGGCGTTCCAAGCAGTCAACTGCTACTCATCCACGAACTTGATTGAGTGGAGCTTCCAGGGACGCCTTTTGACTCGAACCGAGGAAGCCGGTGACCTCGGCCCCAACCGAATCATTGAGAGACCCAAGGTCACCAAGAACGATGCCACAGGAAAATACGTTCTGCACCTGCACATCGACTCTTCTGACTACAAGGATGCCAAAGTCGGTGTTGCGACGGGTGACAGCATCTGTGGCCAGTACGAGTACATTCGCAGCTTCCGCCCGTTCGATTTCCAGAGCCGTGATATTGGCATCTTTAAGGATGATGATGGAAGCGCTTACTTATTGAGCGAGGACGTAAGTCTAGAACCCAATGCTCCTGTGCCACTTTCAGGGTTGGTCTAATCATCAGACAGCGCGAGTACGGTACCCGCATCATCAAGCTCACGGATGACTACCTTGATGTTGCTGAGGTGACATTCGGTTGGGAGTACTTCGCCGAATCACCCGCGCTCGTCAAGCGTGATGGCACATACTTCATCTTCGGCTCCCACCTCACCGGCTGGAACCCCAATGACAACGTAAGATTGACTTCACAAAGCCTTGGGCGAGACTTACTAACATTTTCACAGGTCTACAGCTACGCCACATCTCTCTCTGGGCCTTGGTCTAACTGGACGGAGTTTGCCCCCGTTGGCTCGAAGACTTACAACAGTCAAGTCAGCTTCGTGCTCCCCCTTGGCACCGACAAGGCCATCTACATGGGCGACAGATGGCACTCGACAAACCTGGCAGCCAGCACCTACATCTGGTTGCCTCTTCAATTTGATGGCACCACTGTGACTCTTAACTGGCATGATTCCTGGAACCTCGATACTTCCGCAGGCACCTGGTCTGAGAGCACAATCACGTCCGAAATTGAAGGCGAGGCTGCCGCACTTTCTAACGGTGCTCGCATTGTCGACTGTTCGCAGTGCAGTGGCTCTTCTGCTGCTGGATACCTGGGCGGTGATGAGGATGGCACTGCTACGTTCAACTTCACCGTGGCTGAAGCTGATCGGCTCACACTTATCGTCAACCACAAGAACGGCGATACTGCCTCTCGACATGCTGCAGTTTCTGTGAACGGCGAAGAGCAGTCAGTCGCTTTCCTTGCGACGTCTCATCTTTCTACTACTGGTAGCAGCGCCATCCACGTCAATCTGAAGGAAGGAGAAAACACGGTCACCTTTTCGAGGTCCGAAGGATGGGGTCCGGATGTTGACCAGCTGATAGTACCTGGTGTATAGCTTAAGTGGCACAATATCTCTCTTGCACTAGCCTGCAGAAAATTGGAATTACTAGAAATTGTCGAATTCATGAAATCGATCCCAGTATTCCAGTAGCTTAGAGAAAGCGAAAGACATTTACAAGAGTCCTTGAAAGCGATTCTCTGGAGGTATGGTGTAACGCTTGAGCGAAGCCCACAATTGAGCTGTCCGAAAACGAGAGCCTCTCACAAGAAAGTGTCCGACATGTCCTAATTGCTCTCCAAAATGGGCACAGGCTCTTCCTCCGCAGAAAAGGATATTGCTCTCCCTTTCCCACGCTTTTGTGTTCCATTGACTTGCGCCAAAACTGTGTCGCAAATCTTGAAGCCTTGTTTGCACTTGTCGAAGTCTGCATTTAGGTGACAGTCTATCATGCTGCCCAGAGTGCATGGATGATGCCTTGCCCCGTACGAGTAAATCTCACTACACCACTGCGGAGAGCGGAAGGCTCTGATGATCTTCTCCGTGTTCTCAATGGAGTATCCTGAGTAAGGTGCGGCTGGCTTAGGATCAAGTAGATTGTGCTTGTCCATTTCTTTGGTAAGGGCCCCCAATAGAATGCTGCTGCATTCAAAGCTACAACCAGCTGTCCCGTTTCGGAACGCATCAAGCAGCTTCTGAAGCATCCTCAAGATGAACTCGATCGCATCTTGTCTGCGCCAGTCTACCAAATCTGTGAACTAATCAGCGACAAACTAAGGGGTGCGAAGATAGAATACTTACCAACGAGGCTAGATGGAATCGGAAGTTCCATGGTTCGAACAGGATCGGCGCTCTTCAATACTGCCACCCGCGTCATTTGCTGAAAGATGTCGTATTGTTGAAAAACGTGTGAGATCAGGAGCCAGAGAACCATGTCTCTACCGTAGTCGGCTGGTAGTTTGTCGCTCAAAGGTCCAATCCACCCAGGGCAGTAGATTTCGATGACCTCGTGACATTCGTAGTAGTCCACAAGCACTGCCAGCTTCGCCAACATCTCGAGGTCCATGTGGCGGGGCACACTTCTTGTCTTTCCGTGAATGACCCGCATTAAAATGAGTAATGCCTCGGAATCCCATTCTGTTGCATCCATGTGATAACAGCCATCAATGTGCTTGACCGCAGCCTCAATCCACGGGCCGGAGAGCTTGGCCGAGAAGTACCGCGATGATAGAGCGAGGTGCCTTGAAGAAACAAGATATTTCACCTCTGGCCTTTCGGGTACCTCTAGCTCTGGCGCCACATGTGCCTCAAACTCCTGTTCTGGCTCAATGTCGGGATATCCCTCTGGCTCTGGCTCTGGTGCGGGGTATGCCTCTATCTCCGGCTCTGGCGCAGGGTACGCCTCTGCCTCCGGCTCTGGCTCTGGCGCGGGGTGTGCCTCTGCCTCTGGTTCTGGTTCGTAATATACCTTTGGGTGCGGCTCTTCGTATGGGACCGCTACTTCGACAGGTACAACGTCATCAAAAGCCGATGAGATACCCCACAACGACGACTTCTTTTTCTTTTTCCGTTTTTTTGTCATACCTTGACTGCCTCCCCAGAAGCCCGAATCATCGTATACCGTTGGGAATGTTGCCGGAGGTGGCTCTGGAACCGGTTCGGCCCCGCGAAGTTCGCCGTTATTGCGAGATGAACGACGGATATCTACTGCTGTAGGACTACTACTATGTCAGTTTATTTAAGCAGATGTATAAAAAGACATAGCCTCTTTCTTACCATTCCTTCGCAAAATTTTCTTCAGATGACAAGTCGGCCTCCCAAACAGCAAATGGGGCGTCAGGGTTGCGAAGGATCAGTACGACGTCCCCATTAGGGTCGATCTGATGAAAAGACTCCTCAGACATGGTTAGGCTGGGCACAGGTAGTGAGATGAGGTAGGATTGAAGTCCGCATGGTGGAGCCTGATCAAATTTCGACATCTTTCGGACGAGGAAAAACTCTTCTCTTATACCTCATTTGTCTTCGCTGTATGCTCGGCCGTTGGGCAAGACGACTTGCAAGTGTGTGTGGAGTCGACTGATGGCCTCCAGCAGCGGCTGAGCAAATCAGCGATTCAGCGGCAACGGCTCGCAGCGTTGAGAACCAACAGACCAATCCAGATTCCAGACCTGCCATCTGATTTCTTGGACGGCGGCCAGATGAACAGATTGCCGCATTATTGCTGCCTTTGATGCACTGACATGCATGTCCAACAGACGCTGTGTGCCATGATCGCCGTGGCTTGGCATGAATGTTGATGCCCAAAGCCTTAAATTTTCTGAATCCGGGCCTTCTCATGCTTCTCTTCCTTGGTCAACAATAAGACAAGACAAATAAGACAAGACAGATTGTGAAGTTTTCGAAGACGTACTTGATCAGGCACCGACTGTTCAAGTTTCTGTGCGCATGTTGTCGGTTTCGTTCATCGGTGGTGCCGGTTTCGGGACAATCAGCACTTGGCCAATACTGTTGGTATTCCTATCACAGGGATGGTTCGAACCGTGGGTGACGAAGAGGTCAAAATCTATATATATTTAACTTCTGCGTAAGGTGTAAAAAGGAGGTTCTAACCGGAGGTTGGGTAGACCGTAGATCTCGTAAGTATGGTCTGTAAGTGGCCCCTGCGCGGGCCCCTTGCCTCGAGGTCGAATTGGACTTCCAATCCGACACTGACTATCTCTCTCTTTCATCGCCCAACTACGGCGGTTGGAAGTGTAATTCGATCTCGGGCTCCTTCGCCGAGGCTGCCCCCTTTTCCTCCTTCTTCTGCTCCTTGCGGGTTACCCATCCCTCCATCCGTATCGTCGCCCTTCCTTCGCCGACGAAGTGCTCGAGCCCCTTGTTGGGCGTTGCCTTCGTGAAAGCATCCGCCAGATTATCGTCCCCGTTGATCCAACGGATCTCGAGGATCTCGCGGCGCTCATACGATTGCCGGAGGGCCATGATGTCTATCATCAGCCTCTTCTCCTTCGTGGTGCCCAGTTTGACGAGGCACTCATACAGCGAGTACGAATCGGTACAGACGATTGTCGGTATCGTGGGGATGTCAAGTCGATCGGTAATCCTCTTCAGCGTCGTTGAGATCGCGTGTGCGATGTCGACGCCGTTAACCATGCCGTAGACCTCTGAGGCGAGTACACTTCGTGTGACCCTTTTGCTCTTCGTCGACGAGTAGTGGATGACATTACCGCGGATCGTGAAGTTCTCCTCTCCCATTGCCTCGTTGGCAAGGATTATCACATATCCCAATTGCGATGTGAGGTCGTCATTATTCGCGAATGAGCCGTCGACGAACACGTAGAGCTTCGCCTCCCTCAGGTCGATGGGTTGGTACACGAGCCCCCTATCGAGGTTCACTTGCTGCCACTGTAGCCGTCGGTTGAGGGCGTCGAAGTCGCGTTCCGTCGGCGAAGTGGCCTGCGCTGCCCTCGCGCAGTCGAAAGTGGCCTCTGGCTGACAGATGCTTGCGATGTAAGCTCCTCGTGCGAGCTCTGCTTTGTACCGCTTCTGGCAGTCGGTTGCCCTTGGGTCGATGAGGGTGATCTTCTCGCCTTGCCCCTTCTGTCGGAAGACGACATTCTCGCCCTCGATCGTGAGGATCCCGCCGTTGAACGCAAGTGGTGTGTCCTCTGTGAGGATCTCTTTTGGCTTGGCGGTAAACTTTGCCTTCTCCAGCTCCTTGTCCTCCTTCTCCATGAAGGCCGCATCAGAAAGCCCTAATGTGTCGTCGGTCTGCATTCCGACGATTCCAAATGGATCGTCTGCATGCGCGGAAACTAGGAGGCAAGGATCGTACGTCGATGTAATCATCGAGAGCTTGTCGATGTGGAAATCGTGGTATGTTGCCCACCAGTGAGTGCCTGACTCTGCGAGGCCGTAGAGTGGCTTCAGCACTTCGATAATCGTGTCGTCCGGGTATTTGCTTGCCATCTCCCTTGGTAGGTAAGCCAATATCTTCCTCGTGAGCCTTGTCGCCGATTGGGTGTATGCCTGGGTGATATCACGACTCCAGATCCGGTATCCTCTTTGCCGTAGTGATGCCATCAATGCCATCATTAGTCGTTGGCTGCAGCGCTGAACTGTCGGCGACTGCGTGAGCAGTGCCGCCTTCTCGACGTCGCCGTAGCCTTGTATCACATGCCTTGATTTCTCGTACGGCTGATTTGTCCCCTTTCCTTTGATCTCGCGGACCATTCGCGACTTGAAGATGCGGAGGTTCGCGTGCTTCTCTGGGTCGTAGGTGATGAATCTGTAGACCCCTCGATCGCGCAGTGTGTCGGCTTCGATGAGGTCGGAGCCTTCGTACGGTCGTCCTGCAGTTGTGATTATCCCTTGTTCCCTTAGCTTGACCGCCATCGCGAAGTCTGCTTTCTCCTTGGCCGTGTAGAAGACAGCAGTAGCCTTGGTGTCAGACATGAATTGCCGTTGAGGTGCTTTTCGGGGTCTTCCTCGGCGTCTTGCTTGCGGTGGGGGTACTGGTTCTTCTTCTGCCTCATCGTCTGAGGGTGCTGCGACGATGATCTCGTCGAGGATGGTTTCCTGCCCCTCATCGCTTGGTTGTCCCTCATCGCTTTGTTGAGGTGGTTCCCCTGGCTCTTCTTCTTCTTGTGGGTTGGAAATCACTCCGCTGGGGTCGACGTGGTACGGTCGTACCGCAGTGATCGACACCTCCAGTGGTTGGTCTCGATCTCTCGCGACGACACAAGATCGTTCGTCAATTGAGACTAACTTGTATGGGCCTGTCCATTGCTTTGTGGTTTCCCTCCATACCCGTACCTCCGAATTCAGGGGCATGTCGAGGTTGAGGCTCACGTCGGGCCCATTGCGCGTAGCAATGGCTTCGTTGACTTGCCTTCTAGCATTTGCCTCGCGGAGAGTCTTCATTGCTTTCTCGATTGCTCGCGCCCTCTGGGTCACATCTGGTGACGGCGGTGAGGCCGTCGTCGTTCGTGGGTATGCTCCGAACACAAGCAGCGTCGGAACGAGCCCCTTGGGTCCCATGGTATCATTGCAGCACTTGAGTGCCGTCTGGAGGCACTCTTCGTCCGTTGAACTAGGGCTCTCTTCCTGGATGATCTTGAAAGCTCTTTTCAACTGCTGGTGTGATCTTTCTACCTTGCCAATACTGTGGTGCGCTTCGACAGGGACGACTTTCAGTTGGATGCCGTACGAAGTGGCATTCTCCCTGAATTCCGCCGACTTGAAGCTGGTGCCGGCATCGGTTCTGATGCCGTCTGGTGGACCTTGGTATGTATCGATCCAACAGCGCTTCAGCGTTGCCCACACGGTCTTGGCTTGTATATCTCGAAGGAATTGGCCTCCTTGGAATGATGTGGCTTCATCGATTATATGGAGTACTGGTCGACTGTTCAAATAGAAGATATCAACGACGATTTCCCAATTGAAGTTGAGGTCGTCGTGTAATTTGAACTTGAATCTGCGCGGGCTCTGGGCGTTCATTTGGCACTGGTGGCACACCATCGTCAATTGCTCTAGAGCCCCTATTTCCACATCGTTCCCTGAATGTTTGAGGAGATTGTATAGTCTCGTCGCCGACGGATGGCCGAATCGTCGATGTAGTCGCTTGAGTTCACTTTCCGTCAAGTAATTGATGGACTTGACGTCTGGTTCAAGCTTCATAAACGCGTGCCCCCATCGTCGATCGACGAGCTCAGAGTGCTTTCCATTGGACATTCTATTCCTTGTGTTGTCAAACACAATGCCCAATTTATCCATGTCGTTCAGGCATAGGAGGAATGGTGTATTGACGGGTAGAATGTGGAAAATCATCGTTCCGAATCGTGTATTTACATCCACAGTACCTAAGGCACTTATCTCTTCCCCTGGGCCGAAACTGATCCTCGCAATGCCCGCGTTTGTAGTGTTGAGGGTCACTGGTGAGATCTTTTGGAGTGCGTGGAATTGTCCCTTGCCCCCCGTCGACCATTGTGATGCCCCGGTATCTGGAATAATCCCGTGGAAGGTTTCCGAGCCATACCTTTCGCTGGCATGGAATGCTTGCACTGGATTACCGTAGAACCCTCCTGGTGGGTATAAATTGCGTGCTTGTAAGCCCATCGTTCTCTTTTCCTCCCTAGGCCCTTTGACCTTAGTGCGAGCCATGGCTGCGGTATTAGCATTCGTGTCCCCCGTGCTGCTGAGCGTTGTCGTTGGCTGAGGGACCTTCCCTTGCCAACCATGGAGGAAAGCCTGCTCATTTAGGGCTTGTACCGCTCTCTGTTCGTTCAGCATTGTATATCCTCCTGAGGTTGACGGGGCGAAGAAAGAATGGGTGACATCGTTAACTTCGTCGAAGTCGAGGTCTTGAGTGTACGGGGTAAGATCTTCCTCGCTCTCAGACGACTCGATTGCGTTCGTTGGATGGTCCTCGTAGACCACCAGGAATTGGTTGAATCGATCATGGCCCGTCTTGCCTTGTGTGCCCTTTGCCTTTCTGTATTGGTCGTACGACTTGGCGCGTTCCTCATCAGAGTGGTTGCTTGACCAACAACCCTCCTTTTTGCATATAAAGCACTTCCCTTTCCGCGGTGCTCGGTTGGTGTTGGACCAGCGCCCCCCTGAGGAGTCTGTTCCTCCCCCCTGGCGGTTGCCATACCTTGCCTCTCTTCCTTTGCCATTGTACGTGCGGTCCACCCAGTGCTGTTGGTGAGGGCCTTCGTGAGATTGGAGGTGAGTCTGATTTGGCATCCTGGCTTCGATGTTGAAGCTGGACCTCAGCCTCGAGCACAGCGTCTCGTAGTCCTCAGGCGGTTGATGTAGAGTCATCTTTGCCTCTGGTACCCTCTGTACCGCCGTACATAGATAACCGACCTTTCGCTCATTGGTCCCCTCATTTGGCTGCGTCCTCGCCAGTTTGTCGATCCTGTCGATGAGCTCCTCGAGGATCTCAATTCTCGACTTTCCTTCCATTGTTCTGGCTACAGAGCTAAATGACAATGCCCTCAGCTCCGAGAGGAGCTCGAGGCTCCTATCTTGGGTCTCGAATCGACTTCGGATTGTGTCAACGATGCTGAGAAAGTCGGTTCGATCGATATTACGCACCGCTTGATAGTAGTACTCGGCAGCTTTCCCTGTCAGTATGACATTGACTACCGAATGATATTGGTGTTCTCGGATGCCGATTTTTCGCAGTAGTCGTAGAACATCGTGAGGGTTTCTTGCAGGACCTCATATCTCCCCCCTGAGTACAATTTCTCTTTTGGAAAGATCTTCTTTAGGTCAGTGAACTGTCTTGTGCTGGCTACCGCTGGATCGTTCTCTTCGCGTGCTTCTCGTGCGGCAGCGTAATTGGGTGGTGTCTGCATTGTCGA